CAAAGCAATAACATTTCCACGGAGACATCAGGTGGCAGACCCCCAATACAAAAGGTACATAGTGTACCTTCAGATGTTTGAGCAAAATGTTGTATCACCAGTATTGTCCATGAAATATTCATAACGCTTAGTCACGATAACAAATTGATACAATAAATTGCTACGGAGAAATATGTATTGTGATAAACAATAATATTGGACCTACTTTATATCTCTTGACACAAGATAATCTCATAAACATTTTAAAATAGATAGTATCATTAAAGGTGCACTGTGTAACTTTTTTGGTGGAGGGTCTGTCAAATGCTTTTCTCTGCTCTCTCTGGAATGTTTCACAGAATGATATTAAACCTTTTTATCTTCATGGAGACCAAACCAGACCAAGTTAGAGGTCAGATCTGTGGAGAGGCAACCCGCTCATAGTTAGAATGTCTGTTTTTCGATTTATTTTGGAGCTGTAAAACCACCTGTAATTGAATAAATATAAGGTAGAGCTGTTTAATGTCATACTGGAACATTCGAAGCAGAGCAGTCACATACCCATAGAAACAAGCAGGTGAAGGATCTCCAACCAAAAAGTTCCACAATGCAGCTTTATCTCCAATGTTTACAACGAAAATGTACACATGATAAATACTGAGTCCCAAAATATATAGTTCCAGCGTTCCTATATTGATACAGTAATTATCACGACCGAACTGATACCACTGCTGCATATTTGGTGAGATTATAAAACTTCACAGAGTTGGACCGGCTATACTTTGGCTAACAAGAGATTGCATTTTACTGTGAATCATATTTATAGACTGCCGCTGGTCTTTGTAATTACCCTGTAGCTCAAGTGGAGTCTGGTGAATGAGCGGCCAGTGGGCAGCTAGCCTCTCAATCTGGAATGCTAAATACATAGGAGCAGAATGAAGTTAGAACAGTACACAGCTGACCTCAATACTTCTCTGCTTTTTAACTATAGCCTGTATTTGTTCTGATGCCATAAAAAAGTTGTGTGACAGTAACTAAAGTTTTGAGTTATTATGTGGCCTAGATTGTGCGTTTGACCACACAGCCATAGGGATACTTTTCCAGATGTGGGTATGAGATAGGTCGGCATTTTTGTCTCTTGTCCTTTCTTGAGTATTTTTGTAGATTGTACTTCAACCCAGAAATCTTTTGTGGCTGCTCAGATCAAGAAAAGTTACCATAGTTAAAGTATGGGCGGCGGATGAAGTGGGGTCAGTCCATTTTACTCTGTTGTGAAGCACTTTGAAAAATATGTTTTCTAAATTATGGCAATATTATATTTGTTTGGTGAAAAGTGAATGATTTGTAATTCTTGTAATCTCAGTTCAACTATGAAATCTTTCTGGTGGGAGTGCGCCAATTGTTTAACATTGTTTTGCTTGAAATGTTCAACCATATGGCAATAAACTTATTTATTTTGCATTTATATACATTTATTATAATTATTTTGCTTATAATTGCTTTAAAAAGCCTTGAAAAACATGCATTCTTACTGTGAGCAGGTTGCTTCTCCCCAGATCTGGCCAGTAACTTGACCCAATGAAGAACTATTCCCCTTCTTTTCCATTTTCTCTTCCTGCAACTCAAAGTCTAATCTCTTACACGCCCTTTTTCTTATTAACACAATCTGAAATCATGCATGTTTTGTATTTGTCTGTGTGCATTTCCACTGTAACACTAATCAACACTTCAGAATCATCTGCCATAGGTGCATTTACAGAGTCAAGTAAAAATCACACTTTGAATTTCCAGATAATCCAATAATTAGATAAGATTTTTGGTGGGTCTTTATGCACAAAATAAAAATCATTAAAAAATGTGTCAGTTAATTGATTTTTAGAGTAACAGTGTATTTGAAAGTTAAAATACAACAAATTTGATCTTTAAATCTTTCATTTTTGTTTCTGCCACATTAGTTTGTCCTTTTTGCATAATTTAGTCCAAACACAGATGTGAAAAATCTGAAATAAATCTGATTACTCACATTGGATATAGTAAGTTTATGTTTCAATAATCGGATAATCCAGAAATCAGACAAAGATCAGATTTTCTGTGTGTATGTGAACACTGGCAGTGAAATATTTTGTTTTAATGTGAGATGCCTATAGATGTTTACTGTTCATGGTTGTGTGATGTAATCGTCCTGACCGGGGGCAGGGTGAAGGGCGGTGAGGGCTCTTCCTGGTGATGTCATGTCTCTGTAGCAGTTTGATAAGGAAACAGAGCATCTCCACATCCCACAGTGAGGTTTGACACTCTTCTTATCACAGAGCTGAGGAGCTGATTAAGATAAAAAACATACAGTGTATGATGTTATATAGACTATACGTTACAGTTGTATATGGTAAACAGTCACATTTTTATATAGAGCTTTTCCACCTACAAGGCTCTCAAAGCACTTTACATCAAGGAGCCACTCAACCACACAACCACTCACCCACACAGACACTGGGGGCGAGGTGGGTCTTGCTCAAGGACATGACAACATTCATCTGTGGGAGCTGGAATTGCATCGCAAACCTATGGATCAGTGGATTTGACTGCTCAACCAATGATGTTAATGTCAAAAGCGGGATTTGAACCGCCAACCTTTAATGGATAAGTGGACAAACACTCTGAGCTACTGTTGCCCCCCCATCTATGTTCCCTTATGGTCTAACCTGAACCTCCTATTTATGTAGTTACTCTGCCTGAATGATTCTTAAAGGGCCCATATTTTCTGCTATATGTTATAATTTTGTCTTTTCTTCAAAAACATACCTGGAGTTGTGTTTTGTTTTATTCACACATTTATCACACAAATCCTGCACATTTAGACTGAGCTTTGTTCCAACTTGTGATGTAATGTGGTAATACACCTTCACTAGAATCATTTGGATGATTTCAGTCATAGAACTGCCAGTCTCTGCCGAACTAAAAGTACTACCACCATGTGTACATGACATCACAAGGTGGGACTGAGCTTTAGAGATGCAGACAGACCAATAATAAAGGATTATTTAAACATGTGTGAATGAATGAAACAACTCACAACTCCAGGCATATTTTTGAAGAGGTAAGAGCATTATATCAGGGCTTACATCTCAGACACTTATAGAGGACCTTAAAGCTATTTGCTAATTTTGATTAAATATTTAGAGTAGGTATTATGAAGTGGTAAAAAATGTGATAAAGCTGAGTATTATAAGTGTAAATCTTATACTGCAACTGTCATAAAAAACCTACGCTCTGGTGAACAGTGGGCACAGCCTGTCTTCCTGGCTCCACTCCCTCATTGATCAGACTGCACAATTTATTAGCCATTGTGACAGTTTCCTGTGTGGCCAGGGTCGACAAGGGGAACTCTGTAGTTAAAATGTCTGAACCGTGTTGCACAATACAATACCTATTGTGTTTTAATTGCAGTCTGGACTGTTACCTCCACAGTATTTTCCACATACCCTTTAATGTGCGTGTACCTTTTTGATTGTTATTCCATGTCTGCATGAGTAGTTCATAAACAGATGATTAAATGATAACATAACTTCTGGAAAATTACAATGTTAAGTTACAAGTATTCAAAACAAAAGGAAATGCCAATAGTGTTAGTGCCCGAGAAAGGCACAAACATTTTAACAATCTATCTGCGCCCTTGAACTTCTGCCTCTATTGACAGGAAAGGTCAGTGTTACACGCCCCATCCACCTTATGAGAAATTACACTGGTTTTAGATAAAACAAGACTAAGACAAAAAGACTACATTCAAATGATAAATAAAGACAGATCCATACATATCCATGCATCAATAGAACATTACATTACAAGAATAAAAGATCCAAGAACTTTTAAAATTTCAAGCTTAAAGGACCCATACACCCATATTTTTATTTATGTTATATTGTCAAAAACATTCCTGGAGCTGCGTTTTGTTAAGGCTGAGTTCTTCTCTCAGACAGGAAAGACTCTGTTCCACCTTGTGATGTCGTGTGGTAATACAGGACGTGCTCCACTGTGTTTTAAAACTCCATACCGTCACTAGAATTATCTGTATGATTTCAGACCTGGAATTGCCAATCTCTGAATTAAAGGTAAAATGAGCTGTTAACTTGAAAACTACTGCTTCATGACATCACAAGGTGGAACAGAGTAGTTTGAACTTTGGAGATATAGACAAGAGTCAATTTTGCGTAATGTGGGACCTTTAAAATAAACCATGACCTACCGTGCGCAGGCGCTTACTTTGCAGTTTAGCTCCACTTCACTGGAAAGCGATCTTACGCTTGGGAAAATATTTAGCTCATCTCGAGTTCTTTTACAGTGTAGTGGCGCCATCTAGCGGTCACAATGGATCACTATTTTCTGATCTGTTATGTTATTTCCTCATCAAAAACATTCCTGGAATTTTGTTTAGTTTCATTCAGACATGTTTAACGCACAAACATATTTGCATATTTGGGTTGAGCTCTTTTCTCAAACAGAAAATACTCAGTTCCACCTTCTGATGTCATGTGATAATATAGGAAATCCTCCACTGTGTTTTTAAACTCCATACACCTTCACTATAATCATTTGGATTATTTGAGTCCTTGAATTTCCAATCTCCCCTAAACAAAATGTAAAAGATAGTTGTTAACTTGAAAATTATACCACAAGTAAGAAAATTACCTGACATCACAAGGTGGAACAGAACTTTGAAGATCTGAATGGACTAATAATACAGGATAATACAGATATGTTTTTGCTGAAGACACTATTAGCCTTCTGAAGTGTAACTGTGTCTTGGTGCACTTCCTGTATCTTTAGGCTTTATTTCAAGACTTCCCTGTCTTCATTCACCGCTACATTACCACACACTCAAATGTCAATGCAGAAGTTACTTGTTACTTCACATTTCAAACATATAGATACATATAGTAATATCTATAAAAAGTACTTATACATCAAAGTTGACTAAGTTTACACATGTTCAAAAAGGAGTAGAAAGAAATGCTCAAAGCACTGAACCATCTAAAAAAGTTCTCAGTTTTATTTTTTCTGTCACTTACCGCACATATCACACATAACATTTAGTGCTTTATTTCTAGATCCCATTTTATATTTCAATTATTATTTCAAGTAAATATTTTTAATATTTATACTTAAAGGCCCTATATTATGCTATTTTCTGATCTATGTTATTCATTTCCTTATCATAAACATACCTGTAGTTGTTTTGTTTCATTCACACAAGTTTAACACACAAACCCTGCATATTTAGGTGGAGTTCTTCCCTCAGACAGTTAACACTCGATAAAATCTAAACTATGCTTTACTGCAATAAACAGAAGTTGTAAGACAAATGTGGGACTTTGTGAGTCTCCATTCACCTCCACATTATCATACTTTCAAATGTCAGCGCAGAAGTGATGTCATGTATTAATATACAAAGTATTTCACTATGTTTTGAAACCCCATAAACCTTCACAAAAATCTTTTGGATGATTTCATTCTTGGAATACTGATCAAAAGATAAAATGTAGCTGATATAACAGAGCATTTTGAGCACTGGAGATGTCAAAGGTGGGACCAAGTCGTTGTTTTGTGAGTCTCAAGGAAGTCTCAAGTCTTTGACATCACGTCCGAGTCAAGTCCCAAGTCAAATACAGGAAAGTCCAAGTCGAGTCTCAAGTCATTGGCTTATAAAACCAAGTCAAGTCCAAGTCATCTGCTCTGAGCTTCAAGTCATTTCAAGTCCATTTTAAACCAAAGTACCAAATATAGCTTAGAATTTTGCAATTTATATGAATTTTAAACTAAATTGTACTTAAAAAATCATAGTATATTTATATATGAGTATTTATAGAGTATATAAGAGTTGTAGAAATGCATTTTTTTTTCCTTATTAAATGTCTTGACAAAATCTTAGAGTGAATCATTAGTCAAGTCTTTGTCCATTTTATCAAGTCAAGTCTCAAGTCCTAAAAATAGTGACTCAAGTCTGACTCAAGTCCAAGTCACAACTTACAAGTCCCCACCTCTGGGAGATGTAGACAAACTCAAACATGTGAATGAAACAAAACACACCAAACAAAACACACCTCTGGGTATGTTTTTGATGAGGCAAAACCATTCTAACTTGGACTCAAGCTCGAGAGAATCCATTTTGTCTAATATGGGACCTTTAAGTGTTTAACACTGTGCCACTGTCACCATCTAAAGTTTGTTTCAATATCTGATCTTTTTGGCCCTCGTTTATAGTGTAGTTGCTAAGTGATTACCTCATGTATGTCATATCTTTTATTTATGTCCAGCCCTGCAGTTTTCCCTAGTTTTCCACTAGGGAAAACTTGGTAAGTGCTTTAGCTAAATCAGATACAGCCAATTGCTTAAGTGAAGGATTGCTTGATATTGTAGGATTTACTGCATTGGGAGCTGACAGTTTGCGACAGTGTATAGAGATTTCACTCACCATGATGTGTTGAATAATGAACTATATACGAAAAATACAAAACATTATAATAAACAAATACATTCTTGATCTTGATTTGGCTCAGATTCAGTTTTTCCCAGTCTGTAGCTCCACAGATGTTGTTGAAGGATCTGGTGGAAAAGAGGATTTATCTGACAAAAAAAAAAAAAAGAAGAAATGAGATTTAAATACAGTGAAATTGGAAATGTTCATGTTATTTGGGACAGTAACAGAGGGTTTATCATGTTTTCTAATCTAGACCCCAAAACAATGTTGTCTTTATGTGGTCTGGTTCATTCCTGGCATCTCTGATTTGTTTCTGAAGGGTATGTGTGCAGATAAAGATAAAGAAAAGAGTTTTAAAGTAACTAAATACACAAGGAAATATGTAATAAAAGTACAAAACAGGTTTTCATGTTTTTCTAAATATTATTTGTTGGGTGGAGAGTACCTGTGCTAATTATTCATCATCTTTTTACATCAGTTAAGCGGCAGCTTGTAGGAAAAAAAGTTGAGAAAAAAGAACCAAAATACAATGAATATCCTTACCTCTACATAAGGGGAACTACTAACTAGGCAAGATTTTTAGTCTTATAGTAATACAATATAATGGTATTTACAATATTATATGCATGGAGTAGACTGATTTCATGGATTTATGTTTATTTTTATTAGGAAAATGTACAATTACATTAAAGGGCCTATATTATGTGATTTTCTGATATGTTACATTATAACATAGATCAGAAAATAGCATAATTCGGACCCTTTAAGTATAAAACTAAGATTCTTGTATCAGACTGCAGAAGCTCATTTCCATCTGTATGCACTTTAAATGAGTAGAAGAGAAGACAAGTGTGCAGAATGATCATACACACTTGCTCACTCTGGGGTAGGAGAAGACATTGTCATTGTTTGTATCTCACACAAATGAAGGAGTTTTAAGTTTTACCTTGCCCCATCTGCAGAGCGGCATTCCTGTCTTTGGTGATGTAACAAGCAGTGATCAGGAAGAACACTCCTCCCAACACTCCAGCCAGTGGACACAGCAGGAGACCGTATTTCAGACTCAAGAAGCTCCACTCCACAGACACAAGTTTGGAGTTATGAATGGCATCAGAAATCTACAAGTGCAAAGACAGGATTTTAATTACTGGTACCACTTTATAATAACAACACTTTAATGAATTAGCCTTGAAGGTGCACTGCACAACATCTCTAGTGGAGGGTCCGCCCCCTGCTTGTCGACACAGAAATGTTATTGCTTTATCTAGAATGTTCCACAGTATAGATTAAACCTTTCACCTATCTATCACAAAGGACGCAAGCAGGTTCCAGCACTACACTACATTATAATTCAGATCTGTGGAGGGTCGCCCTTGTAGAAGGAATTATTGTATTTCTGAGCACTGAACGAATATTTTTAAAGTCATACTATGGAACATTCCACGTAAAGCAATGACATGTCACTGCTCTGCCTGAACTGTTCCACAGTATGACATTGAGTAGCTTTACCTTACATTTATTCAATTACTGGTGGTTTTGTAACTCAAAAATACCTAAAATAGGCAGTTTGACTGCGAACGGGGTTGCCTCTCCACAGCTCTGACCTGTACCTTAGTCTGATTTAGTCTCCATGAACATAGAAAAGTTTAATACCATACTGTAAAACATTCCAGACAAAGCAATAACATCTCCATGGAGAAAAGCATTTGATGGGCCCTCCACCGGAAAAGTTACACAATGCACCACTAATTCAAGTCATTTTAATTTGGCTAGATTTTAGTTTTTGCAGTGACTGGAAAACAGAAGTATATTCTTACCGTCCCGATTAGGTAAGGGCTGCCAGCATCTCCCAACAGGTGTAATACTGTGATCTGCAGAGCCTCAGCTGAAGCCCGTCTGGTCGGGACCACGACATACTGACAGAAAATATATAATATGTTAAATGCAACAAGATCAAGATCATGTAAATCTAGCAGTGGTGGAAGAAATACTCCATTTTGTTACTTAAGATACCAGCCTAAAATGTATACTTAAGTACAGTACCTTTATTACTATTTATTACTTTTACGATGTTACGTTCCACCACTGAAATCTAGTAGTTCATACTTTATTGCAATTGGTTAAATATATCTGTCAGTGTCTCAGGGCAATGCTGATCCTGACCAATAGGAGAGGTGGGTGGGGTCTTTGTTTGAGCCTACTGCTGCTCTCAGGAGAAAATGTATGAATCACAATATTACAATTTGATCAAAATACTGTCACAGGAAGAGATTACTGTTCAGTTTTTATCACCGTCTCACCCAGTCCCCATATTGACTTTATCAAAGTAATCGGTTTGGTATTTCCTTTGTGGCAGAGCACACTACTCTCCCTGTAAAGGAGGCTATGTCTGACTCAGTTACACAAACCACTACGAAAATGCCTGCCTGTGTAGAATGAACAATACAATCAGCATAAACAATAGGTGGGCTGTTGGTCTCCAGGCCTTTACTACAATTCAACTGCCTTATCCCTTTAGCCTGTCACGGGTGTATAAACTTTTCCAAAGTTGCAGCCCATGTCCTAGTTATAGTGCTGAAACGTAACAAAGTAAAAGTAGTAAAGTACGGTACTTAAGTATATACTTTTATCTGTACTTTAAGTACATTTTAAACTGGATTAATTTTATTTCACTACATTTGAGAGCAGGTATCTATACTTTCTACTTGACTACATTTTTGAACTGGACTCATAAGTAAAAGTATTTTTATTATAGTTTCAGACCTGCTGAAAAGGCTGAGGGGTTATTAACCTATTCATATTTTGAGCAAACAATCTTTATCAAAATTACTACATTTTAAGCTTTGTAAGACTTCAAAAACTGCACAAAATACTTTTACTTTTCACTCTTTTGTTTTTTTTCATGTCATACTTTTACTTTTTACTTTTACTTGAGACTTTTTTTTTCTCCATCATCTGTACTTTTACTTAAGTAACAAAACTAAGTACAATAACAACGTAACTAGACTAGACTTACTAGAATTATGTCAGCCAGAATAGGCCAGCACAGAGACAGCAGCACTTCACTGATGAAAATAAACACCTGAATGAGAAGCATAGAAAGGATATAAAAAAAGAACTGTGTACAACATGTTAATCAAATGACTAGATTGTATTGTGTCTCTTACATATGTGGCTATGATGTTGACTGATGCAGTGAATATAGTGGCAAAGAGAAATGGGACAGATCCTAACATTCCAACAGCGCAGATGACGGGATCCGCATACTGCACCTTGTCCAGGAAGCATCTGGACAGACTCGCCCCGATGCAAACCCCTAAAATTCCCGTCACTACGGTAATGCCTCCGAAGATGTAACTGGAGATGTAACAGCCAGTGTAAATATGACACATATTAGAGCAGTGGAGCAGGTCTGAGAGCCCTCTGTACCTGTCTTTGCTGCTACAAGGCTCCATTGTGCAAGGCTGCAGAATTCCCTGGAAAACCTGAGCTCGGGACAGGAACAAAGGCATCCAAAAAGCCAAAGCACCAGTCAAGAAAGCCATGGCAGTCACTGCCAATGTCGACCATACAAAACTTTTACTAAACAGAGAAATACCATTATTACAACACCTATTATCATTTAATAATAGGGCTGCAAGATTAATAGCAACATAATAAAATCTGACACAATTACCGAATAGTAAAAGCTGCAGTTTTGAAGTACAATCATTTCTTCTGCACACAACAAAATATCCTGTCTTATTCTGCATAAAAACTGCTAACCCTGTAATTTACAACTGTGCACAACTGTAACATGTGATTCTTGCATTAGTTTTCCAATTCATATTTCTGTCTTTTTGTTGATTGGATGCATTTAAAATGTGAACTTTTAACAAAATCCTATATCAGAGGTATGTAAAATTGACTCTTGTGAGATGTTGTTCCCTCATCATATACATATCAGGAGTAGTGTTTTGTTTCATTCACATATGTTTGAGTAATCTTTTATTACTATTAATACTATACTATTAATCGCAATTATATTTTCCCGATAACGCACAGCACTACTTAATAAGTAACACACTTAACAGCAGCCTCACTTTTTCAGAAGATATTTGATGTCCTCTTTATAAGAAGTGGGTTCAGCATTTGTCTGGCCTTGATTTTCCACAGCGCCTCTTGATGGGTTTGGACATAAGAAGCCAAGCAAAAGCAGCCCAATTACACCTAGTATGGGAGTTAACTGGGAAAAGACCCACACACAATGATCATTATGATTATTATAATGATTATTGATAAAGCTGTACTCAACCAAATAAAACTCACCCTAAGAGCCCATCGCCAGTCCCCTGTGGCAGAAGCGATGGAGGCACCTGAGATATACCCAAGACCACTAAAGGGACAAATAATTATTGAATTATTGAATTAAAAGTGCACTGTGTAACTTTTCTGGTGGAGGGTATGTCAAATGCTTTTCTTCATGGAGATGTTATTTCTCTGTTTGGAATGTTTCACAGTATGGCATTAAACCTTTCTATCTTTATAGAGACCAAACCAGACCAAGTTACAGGTCAGATCTGTTAAGAGGCAACCCTGCTCACACTACCTGTTTTCTAGGTGTCTAAACCTTTGTTTCCCAAAGACTGGGTCGCGACCCTCAGGTGGGTCACAAGAGAATTTTTTTGGGTCGCCTGATCTGTTGCTGTGCTCTCCTCCTGCACCCCGGACTGGAACCCACTACAAAAACGCAAACAGGACCACTTATCTCATTAGAAATGTTGAAATTTTAAACACATGTTTTGTATAATTTATATTCTTTTTGTAATTATTTTATTGACTATTTTGTTCCAGTATTGCTGGTTTAATTGAATGCTGAAAAGAAAAAAAAAGAGAGTTTAATTTAATGTCCAAATAGGCAACTTATGGATCCTTTTATCGCTGGTTCAATTACTGTTTTTCACTGTTTAAAACTTGAGAAACACTAATTGTTCAGAGAGACACAATCATTCAGTCAACAATAAAATATCCTCATTAATGTTCAATAATGGTCAAATCCACCTTTATTTTGTGATTTGTGAATAATATCTATTGACTTGGGTTGCGAAGATTTGTGACTGCAAGCTAAAGTTGTTTAATATCATGGAGCATTCCAAGAAGAGCAGTGACATACATATTCATAGAAACAGGCAGCTACGGAGCCCCAACCAAAAAGTTACATAATGCACATTTAAAGGCACTGGTGAAACTTATATGTTAATGAGGGGGTAAGTGTCCATGTCTCTAACCTGCCCACTGGGATGAAGATGTAGAAGATAGAAATCATGGAGCTTCTTTTTGTCCCAGTAAACAGGTCTCCAATGATCGTGGGAGCGATGGTGGAGTAACTGGCCTCTCCAACTCCTACCAGACCACGCATCAGCATCAGGAACCAGAATAACTGAAAGAAGTCATTTGGCGTTATTGTTCTGAAATAACTTTTTGTGCATGTCAGTATTTATAGTTTAAATTTAATATTGTTTCCCTATAGTGTCACAGTTTAAGCAATGAAATTAAAGGTTCATTGTGTAACTTTTTGGTGGAGGGTCTGTCTCCACTGTAATGTTATTGCTTCATCTGGAATATTTCACAGTGTGGTATTAAACCTTTCTAGCTTCATGGAGACCAAGCCAGACCAAGTAACAGGTCAGATCTATGGAGGAGCAACCCCGCTCACAGTCAGAATGCCTGTTTTTCTAGGTATTTTTGAGCTGTAAAATCACTTGTAATTAAATAAATGTAAGGTAGAGCTGTTTAATGTCATACTGTGAACATTCCTGACAGAGCACTAAAATATCCCCTTAACCAAAGATTTACACAATGCACCTTTAAATATGAGTAGCCTACTTTAACTACTACTATTTAGGTGCAAAAGTGTCTTCATTCTCTAGTGGACTTAATAAAGGAAGACACTCCAACTATGTGCAGTAACAAGTAACCCTGTGTTTCTCATTTCTGTATATTCTCCTATAGACGACCACATCTCTCACTTACATTCTGAGTAACGAAGGAACTGCACAGAGCAGTGATGAGCCACACGAGCAGACCACACATCATAATATACTTCCTGTTGTAACGGTCTCCAAGGTATCCAAAGAGAGGTGCAAAGAGAAGAAAGCTGCAAATAAAAACTGTGGGTGCATTAATATATGGTACACAATAAGGTCACCATTACCAAACACACCCCAGACACACGTGTAAAATTCACACCCTAAGCATCTAAGAGATTGGCAGCAGGGTCACACTAATGCTGTGTGCAAGAAGGGCAGGAGTAGACTCTACTTCCTGAGAAAGCTCAGGTCTTTCAAATGTGTGCAGCAAGTTACTGGAGATCCTGTATCAGTTTGTGGTGGCCACCTCTCTGTACTTCACTATGGTCTGCTGGGGGAGCAGTAAAAACACTGGGCAGATCGACAAACTGATCAGTAAAGCTGGTCACGTAATTGACTGTGAGCTGGAGACATTTGTCACAGTAAGGAACAGGAGGACACTGGACAAACTGCTCTCCAACATATGGACACTACTGCTCACCCACTGCACCAGACTATAGAGGGACAGAGGAGCTCATTGTCCAACAAGAGATACAGGACCATATTCATATCATACTCACCTTTCTGTAATGGATAATACTACCTTTACCTGTACAACAACTCACCCTTATGTAACAGATAACCCTATGTCCTGTCAATCATCATATCATTGTTGTTCTGTCTTTCAATGACCTCTTGTATAAAGCTGTGATTTTATATTTTATTACTTATTTTTCTATTTTATTTTGACTTGTACTGTTACATATATATAATTATGTCTTATTTGACACCTGTCTCTTGCTATCTTTTTTGCTACTTATTTAGAATTTATTATTACCATTTATAGTGAGCTACTGTGTCCAAATGATTTCCCTTGTGGATCAATGAAGTAGGTGTAGGTGTAGGTGTAGGTGTAGGTCTAAGTCTAAGTCTAAGTCTAAGTCTAAGTCTAAAATAAATAGCAGAAGTGGATGTGTCTCGCAAAAAAAGGCAGTAACCTTGCAACACTGTCTGCTGGAATCCATGGGTTTCAAAATTATAAACAATTCTGACATTTGGTATAGGCCAAGTGATGAACCATTTAAAGGTGCACTGTGTAACCTTTCTGGTGGAGGGTCTGTCACCTGCTTCTCTCCATGCCTGGAATGTTCCACAGTATGGCATTACACACAGCAGGTGACACCAATGGGCCAAGTTACATGTCAGATCAAAGAGGCGAGCCCACTCACAGTAAGGTTAAGGTTAAGGTTAATAGGTTAATGAAAATCCATGTAACTGAGTAAATGCAATGTGGATACGTTTAATAGCCCACTGGGAAATTTCAGACAAAACAATAACATCTCCATGGAGATAAGCAGGTGGTTGACTCTCCACCAGAAAAGTTACACAGTGCAGAGTGACGAATGTTCCTAAAAATATCACCATTAAACAGGAAGCTGACACCCATGAATATATCAACTTTACTGAAGGTTGAAGAATTAGCTAATTGAAAATCTAAAAGGAATATATTATGATAAACTTTGATGTTTTGTGTGTGTACCTCTTACCTGTCTGTAGAAGTCCGGCAGTACTGTCATTTATATTAAAAAATGTCTGGATGTTCAGGAGCACTCCTACAGCAACAACAGCAATAATTTAGATATGCACCATTTTGAATATTGGCTCCAACTCTCCATCGTATGAAAACTATCCCAAATTAGTTTTATAACAATGGGTACTGACCTGCTAAAGTGTACCGCTCCATGTAGTTGAGTAGGTTGATATAACAGAGTACAGCCACAGCCACATACCCTCGGGCAGGGGAGACAGGTGAAGATCCTACCCTGTCCAAAGAACCAGTGCTTTCGACAAAGGAGCCATAGCGAAAACTGGCACTGAGACTGCGCCGAGGAGACACCACTTCTCTGAAAGACGACACTGAAATCCTTGGCTCCATGGCTCACCTGAGAACAGATGTGATACGAACATTCCGATGAGAACAATGATAAAGTTTGTGTGCAGTCAAAATATAGATCTTGTTTTATCAAAATTAAGCATAATTAGGACTATACAGAGTAGAATATGCTTTAAGTTGTAAAAGCTAAAAAAATAATATCTATGTTAAAGTAGGCTATTGTCTTGTAAAGGGGATTGATAACATTAGATTTATCTTCTTTCTGCTACTTTTCATTCATTTTTATAGGCTATGTTTATTTTATGACACTGACATCATAATGTATTTTCTAATTTTATGATTGAAAAGAAAGTTAAAAAAAGCAACTGCACTCTACCCTGCACTGTTTCTCTATTTGACTTGACAGCCAGCTAAACCATGGTGGTGACAACACTTTTGGCGAAATTCTTATGACACAAATAAATTACACAAGAGTGTGTGTACAAACTGTTGCAACAAGTGAGGAAGTCTTAGGCTATATGTGTGAACATAAAGATTAACCTTTTCAAATAGTATAAATATAGGGGTAAGAGTGAAAGGCAAACTTTTTGAACAAAAACAACTGTTGCTGAAAACTAAATTCCACACAGTACACTATGATAAGCAACAATCTGTTTATGATTGTACATTCAGTCCTTCAGATAGAGAATTAAAACCCAGCACACTCACTTGTAAAAGAATGTTGATTCAGTCCAGTGTTATTCCATTTTTGTTCTGGTCAGATGATGAGGGGTGTTGCTGTGAGCAGAAAGTTCTCTGCTCTGCTGCATGCCTGCAGAAATATTGAGTTTAGAACAGAGCTGCCCACAGAGGGGCGGTCATAATCTTAGAAAGGCACACTGTTGTAACTTTTTTACTTTACTTCCTTCCTTTTTCTGTGTCTCATTTGGAAATTACATTTGAAACGTGTTTCAAAAAACTGTGTTAAATGATAAAGAGCTGGATTTTTATAGCCTATATTCTATATCTATATTCTATGTTAAAATGGAAACTTTTAACACAATCCTATATATCATATATATATATATATATATATATATATATATATATATATATATATATATTAGTGCTATCATGCGATTAAAAAAATGGAGAGATTAATTAATTATGATCTGTAATTAATTTATCTAATTAATCTATTTTTAATCTCACCTAAAAATTGCTGAGAAAAGCCTTCAATTTGAGGTATTTTCATTTAAATTCATTATTACATTTAGTCGGGGAGCCAAAGTCTCAAAAGCTCTAGAAAATGGGTTGAACCTGACATCGCCTGCCATACTTTTTATTTGTGTGTTTTTTGTTAACTGTGACCCTGAGGACCAATAATTGGAGGGTCTGCTCTTCCGGAAATATCGAAAAAAAAAAAATTGTGGCCATTTTAGTGTAGGTAACCTTCATTTTGTGATAGAAAATTGTGGATTGGGTAAGCTGTCTACAAATACATTCCAGATGCAAAGAACACATGTGGTGACAACATTCAGTGAAAAAAATATTCATAAAACACATTTCTACATGATTTTGGCTCAATTTAATGCCAAAAAATAAGGCATTTTTTTCACTTTTTTCCAGTATTTTCATCTTTACTTCATTGGCAATCAACTATTCCCCCAAGTTTTGACATCAGCCAATATGCCATTCTTTTCTTCAAACAGTATAGTCATTCCACAGAAAAAAATATAAAAATCCAACCAAAATCAATGGATCTGTGATGATTTCTTTACCATCAACAGGCCCAGAACCTCAATAGAATGTTAGGCTCCTCTCAACATTCCATAAGGCACACTGGATATTTAGCATGGTTGTTAATGTCCACATTATTAAACATCATGGCCTAGGCATCTTTTAAATACTACTACTACTACTACTACTACTAATAATAATAAATATAGCCGCAAGCGGCAATGATCGGCCCTCGTTGAGCCTATGCCATGCCCAGGCCACGCCGCACCCTGGCCACATTGAGCTCTGCACATGCCGGCCCCACGAATGCATCTTACTCATTGATCTAACTTCTAAATTAACACTAACCCCTAAACCGACGTGCACTCCTAACTAGGGATGGGCATTCGATGAAATTTTCTTAATCGATCGTAGGAAGAATTAACGATCGATTATCGATTAATCATTAACGTTTTTATATTAAAATGATCATCATTATTTTACTATCTGCACTACTAATCTGCATAAATAAATTCAACTTTACGACATATAGACCGTAACCACTCTAGAGCCACATCAATCCGTTTGAGATTTTAATGTGTTTAATTCAGTTTTGCGCAACTCTCACAGAAACGAAACTTAAAACCGCATCGCTAATTTGCATAAACTCAGCAAAGATAAAACTACAGCTCTTGTGTGGCTGATGCGGTCAATTTCTGTCAGATTAAAAGACATGATTCAGTGGAATACAGGTTAGTGTGACCATATTGGCGTTTGTCAAAACCAGTATAGTCATTCCACAGAAAAAAATATAAAAATCCAACCAAAATCAGTGGATCTGTGATGATTTCTTTACCATCAATAGGCCCAGAACCTCAATAGAATGTTAGGCTACTCTCAACATTCCATAAGGCACACTGGATATTTAGCATGGTTGTTAATGTCCACATTATTAAACATCATGGTCCTTCGCTCCACCTTGTTCACAAATTTAAAAAGTCAATGCCAAAGTGAAAGGCACCAGCTGTTCACCAAGAAACATTTTCCACTGCAAAGAGACCAAGACGTGATGTTGCTGTAAAACCACAAGAACAAGAATGTGTGAGCTCAGTCTGTTTGTCTTCTGTACGTCTCACTTAACAAATGGGATTTTACTTTGATGGTGCTCCACATACAAAATGTTCTCTGCAAACTCAGGATGAGTTAGGAAGTCAAATGTTTCCTTTTTGTTTCTTCCTGTGGATCAATCCTGCCCATCACCTTCACCTTTCACTATTTTTCAATTCCGTTGGGAAGAGAAACAGTTTGAACAGAGGTTTGAGTCACACACATCTGATTCACTTTTGCATTTATGGAGTTCACAAACAAATTTCTCGAGTCGTTTTCCGCTGTTAGGATCCAACAACCACACAATTAACGATATCTGAATCACAAAACTAAAATATGACAATATCAGAACCAGAAACAAAAGTGATATGGTTCAAAAGACTTGAAAAGATCGACTTTGACAATAAACTACAATGGGAAAACAAACATGGAGGTTTGATGCTCACTCTTTTGGAAAATCCTTCCCAGCATGAACTGCACAATGACCGGAAGTCTGAGATTCTTGATGCATCTATAGGACACCCAACAAAAACTTTGGCGTAGCCAAACCAAATTTGGTACACAGATGCACCATGGGAATAGGGACAAAAAAGTATATTAACAGGAAGTCGGCCATATCGGACTGATCGCGCTACTCGGTGCCAAAGGCGCATTTTCTTGTCCTCATATTTGAACGAACTCGTCCTAAGGCGTTTGACCCAGACTCACTAGAATCATTCGGTATCATCTAGACGAGTGAGACATTAAAAGTTGTTTAAAGCTTTTTAAAACAGGGTTGCTGTGGCAACGGTGCAAATTTCGGGTTCGTTTTTGCAGCGCGCCATCAAACTTCAGCATGTGATAATTTGCACAAACTGGCCAAGTTCACTCAAACTTTAATTGTTGGTGGACACCACAACTCTGAACAGATTTATATAAGAAAATCTAAACTGGCCCCCCTAGGGAGGTTGTATGGAACAATAAAATTTTACTTTGTCGTAGGCATGTAAAATTTGGTACACACATTCGTGGAGTGGTCTTAATGAAAAAAGTCAATGACGCCCACACTCCATCTCCCATCATGTTGCCATGGCAACTGGCTAAAAATCTGTCTTCACCATGGGGACGTCCCAACAAAAACTTTGATGTACTCAAACCAAATTTAGTACACAGATGGGAATAGGAATAATAAAGTATATTGTGACCACGCTCTCTCCCAAACCGGAAGTCCACCATCTTGGATTTAAAAAAAAGAAAAAATCAACACATACAGAAATTGAGAAAAATAGTAGGGTTCGGGTTAGGTTAGGGGTAAGGTTAGGCTAGGGTTAGGAGTAGGGATGGGCATGATTAATCGATTAATTGATAATTGATCATTACGTTAATTTTAAGCGACAAACCGAATGTAGGTTGCTGTGCATAGCGTGACCAAACAGGGGTCTGTACATGTAGCTCTCTGCACTCAGAAGGAGCAGACACAAACAGTCGGTCAGTCTGCAGCGTACCGAAGCACAAATGCGTATTTGTGATTTGTACAAAAAATTCCACGCTTTCCGTTGCGTTCGGGACAAGTAGGAGTCCATGTGCACAGTGTACAAAGCAGCACATATGTTTCGGTGTCCAGTGGGAAAAAGCTTTACCAGGTGAGAGTCGCGCAATGTCGATGATGAGTCCCCACCTCCCACCTCCCGTACGGTGTCCTGGTTTTGACAAACGCAAATCTGGTCACACTAACCTGTATACTGAATCCACTGAATTGCATATGCGATGCGTTTTAAGTTTAGAGTTGCTGAATCATTAAAACTCAAACGACTCTAGAGCGATTACGAAAATTTCATCGTTAATGCCGATCATCCCTAGTTAGGAGTGCACGTAGGTTTAGGGGTTAGTGTTAATTTAGAAGTTAGATCAATGAGTAAGGTGCATTCGTGGGGCACGGCATGTGCAGAGCTCAACGTGGCCAGGGTGCGGCGTGGCATGGGCGTGGCATAGGCTCAAGCGAGGGCCGATCATTGCCGCTTGCGGCTATATTTATTATTATTAGTAGTAGTAGTAGTAGTAGTAGTATTTAAAAGATGCCTAGGCCATGATGTTTAATAATGTGGACATTAACAACCATGCTAAATATCCAGTGTGCCTTATGGAATGTTGAGAGGAGCCTAACATTCTATTGAGGTTCTGGGCCTGTTGATGGTAAAGAAATCATCACAGATCCATTGATTTTGGTTGGATTTTTATATTTTTTTCTGTGGAATGACTATACTGTTTGAAGAAAAGAATGGCATATTGGCTGATGTCAAAACTTGGGGGAATAGTTGATTGCCAATGAAGTAAAGATGAAAAGACTGGAAAAAAGTGAAAAAAATGCCTTATTTTTTGGCATTAAATTGAGCCAAAATCATGTAGAAATGTGTTTTATGAATATTTTTTTCACTGAATGTTGTCACCACATGTGTTCTTTGCATCTGGAATGTATTTGTAGACAGCTTACCCAATCCACTGAGGATTTGAGGAAATTTTTCATTTTTCAAAATTTTCTATCACAAAATGAAGGTTACCTACACAAAATAGCCACAATTTTTTTTTCGCGATATTTCCAGAAGAGCAGACCCTCCAATTATTGGTCCTCAGGGTCACAGTTAACAAAAAAACACAAATAAAAAGTATGGCAGGCGATGTCAGGTTCAACCCATTTTTGAGACTCCCCGACTAATTATTGTGGCAGATCAAAAGACTGATATAGAACAAAAAAAAAGTGACTTTATAAAGTCATTTATTGTTTAACAAACTTTAACAGATGCAGTCACATTCCACAGTATCATCATTATTATTACAATTACTAATCTGCAGTGTTGGGAAGGTTACTTTTAAAATGTATTCCCCTATAGATTACAGATCCCAAAATGTAGTTTGTAACTTACTCCATTCAATTACTTAAAGTGAGTAATTTGAATACTTGGATTACTTGATATTGTCATGCTTTTTAAAACTACATGAATGTAGCAACTGCATCCTGCAAATGTTGTTCTTGTTTGTTCTCTTCAAATTAGCTGTTGAGCCCAAGTCTCCATGAATAAGAAACTGTTTGCTGTCAAGTAGCAAAGACCAGGAAATCTGAACATAATAACTTTTGTCTACTTAAAGACAATAAAAAGTCCAGTCTTTCCTTAACCATATGAAAAATATTATTGATAGAGAAATGCTTTATATATGAGATCACTGGTTTTAGTCCTGGTTTAGACCTGCTTTAGTCCTACTTTAGTCCTGGAATGGGTTAGAGTCATGGTTTTAGTCCTGGTGTTAGTTCTGGTTTAGTCCTGGTTTAGACCTGGTTTAGACCTGGTTTTAGTTCTGGTTTAGTTCTGGTTTAGTCCTGGTTTAGACCTGATTTTAGTTCTGGTTTAGACCTGGTTTAGACCTGGTTTTAGTTCTGATTTAGTCCTGGTTTAGTCCTACTTTAGTCCTGGAATGGGTTAGTCCTGGTTTTAGACCTGGTGTTAGTTCTGGTTTAGTCCTGGTTTAGACCTGGTTTTAGTTCTGGTTTAGTCCTGGTTTAGACCTGGTTTAGTCCTACTTTAGTCCTAGTTTAGTCCTGGAATGGGTTAGTCCTGGTGTTAGTTCTGGTTTAGTTCTGGTTTAGTCCTGGTTTTAGTTCTGGTTTTAGTTCTGGTTTAGTCCTGGTTTAGACCTGGTTTTAGTTCTGGTTTAGTCCTGGTTTAGACCTGGTTTAGTCCTACTTTAGTCCTAGTTTAGTCCTGGAATGGGTTAGTCCTGGTGTTAGTTCTGGTTTAGTCCTGGTTTAGACCTGGTTTTAGTTCTGGTTTAGTCCTGGTTTAGACCTGGTTTTAGTTCTGGTTTAGTCCTGGTTTAGACCTGGTTTAGTCCTACTTTAGTCCTGGAATGGGTTAGTCCTGGTGTTAGTTCTGGTTTAGTCCTGGTTTTAGTTCTGGTTTAGTCCTGGTTTAGTCCTTGTTTAGACCTGGTTTAGACCTGGTCTCAGTTCTGGTTTAGTCCTGGTTTAGACCTGGTTTAGACCTGGTTTAGACCTGGTCTCAGTTCTGGTTTAGTCCTGGTTTTAGTCTTGGTGTTAGTTCTGGTTTAGAGGCGCACAGGAGGAAGAGCAGTTTACGCGAGAAAACATACGCGGCGCACGGGAGGACCGCGGTGTCCGCCCAGTAACTACGGAAGGAAACGTGGTCCGCGCGTTCTCAGGTTAATGACGATGATGAAGGTGTGTGTTTGTGTTTGTTGTGTGTTTGTGTTTGTTTGTGTTTGTGTGTGTGTGTGTTGTGTTTGTGTGTGTTTGTGTGTGTTTGTGTGCGTGTCCCCTCATGTGGCAGGTCACTATAGGACAGTAGTGCAGACATCATGAGTCTATGCAGGTTGTTTTCACCAGTGACATTTAAGTTGTAGGCGATTTTATATTTGTTATTTTCTTTTATATTTCACGTTGGGAGAATAATTTCCAAGACACGAATGCGTTTTTACCTGTGCACTGCTGCTTCTGTTCTACTGGCTCTTCGACCTCGTCCATTGTGCGACTGACGCCGCCAACGTTAACATGACGTTTACATCCCTCTTACTGCGCGTATTTTGTGTGGGTTTCCGGCAATGAGTGGAATTACCGAAATAAAAAAAAATTATAAAGGTTTTTTTTTTGTGTGTGTGTGTTATTGTCCCATAAACACATAAAAACAGATTTTATAATAAAGCAACTCGCATACATAAACAGTAAAGTTAGAGATTAAAAATGAGATTAACGCGATTAAAAAACATAACGCGCTAAATATGACTGTAATTAATTAATTGCAATTAACGCGATAATTTGACATCCCTAATATATATATGTATATATGTAACCCTCACGGACTGACAGTCTATATGTGGTCCCAGTTGTCTCAGCGCACCCAGCTTCAGGACCCTGCGTTGTGTTTGGTGATGTAAGAGTGGCTAGGTGTGGTGCGGGGAGAAGGATCACAGCAGACACAGCGGTTCTTTTTGATTGTGGAATGAGGGGCAGCCAGTGTATTTATTTGATGAGTTCCAATAGCGATAACAGGTGTTTCGTTCAGTTGCTTGGCTCATGGGACCTTACGGAGTAACGGCAGAGAGAAGACCAGCTAATTAGTCATTTACTACAACAATACAATTACCAATTATAAATTTCATGTTCACACACAGTGTACAACAATAATAATAATAAAATATCATAAAACAAGATAAACTATTATTTAGTAAATGGTTGGTAAATTTGGTAAATGGTCACCACAATAGGCTACAACACACTACACAACGCATCAACGGACTCTGACTGCTCCCAACTGCTAGCGTAAAATCAAGTGCCATAAAATGAACAAACCAATGTGCTGGTCATTCAGAACAGGACCAATAATGAGTAAAACATTTTCCTTAACCTATTTGGTGCAATTAACATGAAGATGGCAAATATCAACAAAGATGTTGATAGATCTGATTAACTGCGATTGACAGTGCCTACCTTACGGAGTAAGGGCAGAGAGAAGAGGCCGAGAGGCGTCTACGCAGCCTCTTCGCGCTGCCGCTACGGTGGCCGCACTTGGACATGGGCCAAAAACAACAAAACAGTAACTGCGGTCTCGACAAGTAAACAAAGTACAGGAGCACCACCTAGTGGTCACTCCCTTACATCCACCCCTCCTTTAATTGATGGTGTTCCAGCCATCGGACACACCCAACTAGACAGACCCAACAGTGTTATTCTCTACAGAAAACAAAACAAACACAACAACAGGAACTGTATGTGTTTATGTACATCCAGAAGCTCTTTTCGCTTTCTCCCTTTGCCATATCTTCCTGCCTCTCTCTATCAGTCTTAGGTCATTGTCAGTGGTAGTCACTTGTGTCTCATAGGAAAGTTTCTTTGGGGGGTGTCGCTCTCTTGTGGGGTTTCTCTTTAGGATATTGGCCCCTTGGGGTGAAACAGAACAATCCCTGCCCACCTCTTCCTCCCGCAGCCCAGCCACCACTTCTGCCTCTTCTGTGCTTAGCTGGTCTGGCTCCTGGCCAGCAATTTCAGGACTGATACAATCGTCAGGTTCCTCCACATTCTCCACATCCGACTCATTCGTATTTTCACTGTCCTGTTGTTTATTTTCACTCTCTGTTGCATATTCATGCCCGTCAGGAGCACCCGTTTGTCTTTGCTGCACTGGAAGAGACATGCACTGTGTTAAAAGATTAGGATGGACCACCCTCTCAGTTCCCCCATCCTCTCTCCTAATCACATACACTGGTAGAGTAGGCTGCTTTTTGACCACAATGTATGGGTGTGATTCCCACCTGTCTCCGAGTTTCTGGCGATTCTCTACATGACAAATTTTAACCAGGACCCTGTCTCCTGGGCTGAACGCCTGACCCTTAGCTCTCTTGTCATAGTGCTTTTTCTGCTGCTGTTTGGCATGATGGGACGACTGATTGGCCTGGGCATAGGCTTTGGACAAGGCAGTGTGTAGCGTTTGGACATACTCAGAGTACTCACACGACTTCCTAGAATCAGAGAGCCCAAAGACAAGGTCAACAGGAAGCCTGGGGTGCCTGCCGAACATGAGATAGTAAGGTGTATAGCCGGTGGAGTCGTGTTGTGTACAGTTATAGGCATGGGTCATTGCGTCAACGTGTTCGTGCCAGCGGGGCTTTTGGTGGGGCTCAAGGGTACCAAGCATATTCATTAATGTGCGGTTATATCTTTCAGTTGTGCCGTTGCCCTGTGGATGGTATGGTGTGGTGTGAGTTTTTGTAATGCCAACACATTTACACAGTTCTTTTACAATGGTACTTTCAAAATTTCGGCCCTGGTCTGCATGGAGCTTGGCAGGGAAACCAAAACGACAGAAGAAGTTTTTCCACAATGTCTTAGCCACTGTACTGGCTTTCTGATCTCTGGTGGGGTATGCTTGGGCATAGCGAGAGAAATGATCTGTAACAATGAGAACATTTTCAATGCCACCCCTGGATTTTTCTAAGCTTAAAAAGTCAACACAAACAAGTACCATGGGGGCGCTAGAGTGAATACTGACCAGGGGAGCTCTGAGGCCTGCAGTGGGGTCTTTCTCAGGCAACACCTTTCACATCGCTCACACCAGGCTTTAATCTCCTGGAACATCTTTGGCCAGTAAAACCTCTCTCTTATCATTTGCAAAGTCCTTTCAAACCCCAAGTGCCCTGAGTCATCATGCAGGGTGGTTTTGACTTTAGTGTGCAGTGTCTCAGGCAGTACAAGTTGCTCCAACATGCCTCTTTGTTGGTCCTTGACTTTGCGGAACAAGACTCAATTTTTTATCGCCAACCTCCTCCACTCTTTTAAGAGAAGGCGCCCATGCTCGCCCATCCCAGCTCTATCACTGTGGTCTGGCTTTCGGTTGCGGCTCTTTGAAAACAGGACCGGGCCAATCACAGAATCCTCTTTCTGGGCTATGCGAATTTCATTGGTGGTCATGGCTGGGAGAGATTCTGTTCCCACCTCTAAATAGGGCTCGTCTGCGCCATCTCTTGTCTGGGGCACAGACCTTGTATCAGGGGCGTTTTTAGGTGTCTGGGGGCAGCTGTTGTTGGTGACCTGGTGGGGACAGGACTGCAGCAACATCTTGGCTCGACATGTGTGAAAGTGCATCCGCATTTGCATTAGTTCTGCCCCTGCGATACTGAATATCAAAGTTGAAAATGTGCAGTTGAGAAACCCAACGCTGGCCTGTGGCGTCAAGTTTTGCCGAGGACATGACATACTTAAGGGGGTTATTGTCTGTCAGAACTGAGAAGCGACGCCCGTACAGATGATCATAGAATTTGTCGGTTACTGCCCATTTAAGGGTGAGGAACTCGAGCTTATGCGCCGGGTAATGTGTTTCAGGTGGGGTTAAACCTCTGCTTGCATAAACTATAACCCTTTCCTGCCCCTCTTGGATCTGTGCTAACACAGCGCCTGATCCCCCACCCGATGCATCTGTCTGGAGCACAAAGGGCAGGTTGTAGTCTGGGTAACCAAGCACAGCGCAGTAATCAGCTTGTCTTTCAACAGTGAGAAAGCATTCTCGCACTGGTCAGTCTATAGAAAAGGACGGGCAGGCTCAGCATTTCTGTTTGTACCCCTTTTCTTTTTTCTAGGGTCACCTGATGTGAGGCAATACAAGGGTGCAGCAATTGAGGAGAAGTTTGGGACATACCACCTATAGTACCCCACGAAGCCAAGGAACTGGAGCACCTCTTTCCTGTTAGTAGGTCTTGGCCAATCTTTAACTTTGCTGATTTTCTGTGGGTCAGTTTTAACCCCTTTCGCTGACACTATGTGCCCCAAATACTGCACCTCCTTTCTCACTAGCTGGCACTTGGAAGGCTTAAGCTTTAACCCATGCTGTCGGAGGCGGTCAAACACTAGCTGGAGCCTCCCCAAATGTTCATCAAAGGTCTTTGAAAATATGATTAGATCATCCAAATAGATTAGCAGATGAGTAAAGTTGAGATCACCAAAACAGCATGTCATTAGCCTCTGAAATGTGGATGGGGCATTTTGAAGGCCAAAGGGCATCCTATTCGCCTCAAACAGTCCCATTGGTGTGCTGAATGCAGTTTTGTGTTTGTCCTGTTCCGCCACTTCTACCTGCCAGTAGCCTGATGTGAGGTCGAGGGTGGAGAAGTATTTAGCCTGTCCCAATGCCTCCAGAGCCTCCTCTATTCTGGGCAGGGGAAAGGTGTCTCTTGTGCTGCATGAGTTGTTTTCGATAATCAATACAGAGCCTCAATGACCCGTCCTTTTTAGTGACAACTACCACAGGAGAAGCATAGGGGCTTTTACTGGGCCAAATGACTCCGGCTGCCTCCATCTCAGTTAACAGCTTCCTAACATCCTGCCACTGTGAAGGAGGAATTTTACGATACGGCAGTCGAAAGGGTTTTGAGTCAATGAGTGTTATTTCATGTTGCACTGTATTAGTATGACCATAGTCTGTTGAGTGTCGTGATAACATGTCTTTGTTTTTGTCGATGAGTTGTTGGACGACAGTGCGCTGTTGTCCGTTATCTGTTGCAGCCCCGCTTAGATCCACAATACTTTCAGAAATAACATGATCCAGACTAACACTGGTTTGTACTGCACCAGAGGGGCCGGCACTATCTGGAAACTCAACCACCTTTTCAACAAGAAAGGCATGGGCCAGAGGGGTTTGGGGCCTAATAGTGACACTGCGCTGGGACATGTTCATAACTCTGATTGGGACAAAGCCTTTATCGACATTGGCCAGGACTTTAGCAACAAGGTGGTCTTGGGGGAGACCTAAGGAGACGTGGCTTTCAAGGAAGACAGTGTATAATTGTTTTTGGGGGCCAGTTTTTACTTTGCATTTTAAGTCTATTTCCTTTCCAGCAGGAATTCTCAGTTTGCGGCCAGCAAATACGGCGGGCTCCACCAGGTCACTTGTTTTCTTCGTTTCACATTTTTCAACATCAAGCAAGGCTGTATACCACTCTGGGTGTTCTTCTTTCACTTGATGGAGGAAGTGCTGCCCATAGGCTTCTTTAAAATGACTTCTGGAGGCCCGGAGCACATTGGTCCCTACTAAGAGAGGGACAGAGGAGAGATAGTCTGAATCAGGAACTACAAAGGTAGGTACGGAACTAAACACTTTGCCCAACACTTTCAACTCTATGTTTATGAAGCCACTGTAGGGCACGGCATGGCCTGCTGCCACTTCTATAGGCACTGTGGAGGGCTGTGGCTTTTGGGTGACTAGAATAAAAGCTGTTAGCGATAGTGGTCACCTGTGAGCCGGAATCAATGAGAGCTGTGCACTTTAAACCATTAACCACCACCCCACCCTCATTTCTCGGTCCCACTAAAGGCATTTTCTCCCTCTTTTTAACAGTTTTTTTGGGGAGGAGACATTCTGGGGTGCCCATGGTGGCCCCTTCTACCATGGGCTCTAAGAGTTTAAAGGCCGAGCAGACGAAGGGGGGCTATCAGAAGACTCCACAGGCTGCGACTGCCTGGACTGCCCAGGACTGACATCTGGGAGGACAGCCCGGCAGACACGAGCTATGTGTCCTGTTTACCACACCTGTGACATGTGACACTGGCACTCGGGGCCTTACTTCTCAGTGCAGGCTTAACTAAGGGTGCAGGGCTGGACATTTTTAACTCGAGATCAGCTAGTTTAATCATTTGCTCTTCTTGACTAAGTGCAAGTTTTTTCACAATCTCTGTCAGCTCAGAAAGTTCAGTTTGCTTGTTTTTTCCCCTTTTCATGTCACTATTCTGCTCCTCAGAGGTCTGGACGTGGGCATACGACTTTCTTTGTTTGTGTGGTGGTTGGAACCTATTACCTTCTCTGGCTAGGTCACGGAGCTCCGCTTGAAGCTCTCGGAAGCTTAGAAGTCGGGGCTTGAGAGGGGCAATTCTGGTGTACACATTTTCATCGACAAGCCCCCTCAGAAACTGACGTGTGAGCTTACTGTCTCTGTCAGGGAAGGGACGGCCACTACGTTGGCTCTCCTCAACAGTGCGCAGGATGGCCTCTAACGCTATAGTAAGGAGCAGGCAGTCTCACCAGGCTTTTGATTGCGCTCATAGAAGTCTGCCAGTGGGTCAAGGGAGGAGTGTGCGTCACTGTATTCTGCTTTTAACTCATCGAATGCCCTTTCAGGGGTTTGCTCTTGGGGGGGCAGGTTTAACACTAGCTTTCTGGCCTCACCTCCGAGGTGTCTCACAACAGTAGAAAAGCGGAGGTGCACAGGGAGTTCAATGGCATCAAGGAGGTACTGCATGTCCCTTATCCAGTCCTCCACTAGTATCTTGCTGTCCATGTTACCCGTGAAGACTTGCACATTCTTTACCTGGTGTTTTTGCATGAAACCTCCATAGGCAGGTATAGGGGAGCTCTGATGGGCTGAGGCTCTGGCAGGCATGTCGTGAGGAGGCATTGGTGCTACATGGTACATTGGTGTAGGTGTCGGCAGGTCCAGCAGAGATGGCACAGGGCTTAAGGCAGGAGGTGGCACTGGTGCTGGACTCCATAGATTAGCCTGAGGCAGAGGGCCTGCAACACTTACAACAGGCTGCCATGGCACTGACCGGTTGACTGGGTGGTTGGGTCTGGCAGCTGGGCTGTGGTCCAAGGTGGGGAGGGCAGCAGCTTGGAAACGTCAGGAATGGGCAGACCTGTAGAGTGAGCGGGAGTGGGGTAATGGTCAGTGTAGGGGACCTGTTTGGCAACAGTCTGTGTATGGTGTGTAAAAAGTCCTACTTGGGGCCCTTGCTGATCTACTGGCATGTCAATGTTGATTTGGTGCTGCATTCTAAGTTACTAATGTGCAAAAGTGACCTGACAACTTTGGCTTTAACAATATCCAAAACACACCATAGAAAGCACAACTAGAACAGTTATTACTCAAAATGAACACCCACAATACTTTAAGGTGAAAACTCAAAACCATCAACACACTTTGGGTTGAAGAGGAAATACCACACTGCTATAATACTGTTGTGCAATGTTATACACTTATTATACACAGTACCCTTTATGTATACCACTGCACCCATCTTTACTATAACTAGGAGCTGCCTTCTTTTTATGGCTCAGCTTGGCTTGCAGGTGGAGGTGTACGATCAACAGGAGGCGCACACTCAGGCTCAGTGTCTGTAGATAGAGAAGGCCAGTGGATCCGATGCAGAACAGCCAGATGGAGGGACAGATACAGCCGGTTCCAGAGCAGGTGCGCGGTCCACACTTCCACGGTCGCTCAGCTCCACAGCAATTACAGCAGCCAGGACACCATCCAGGGAGAGCCAAGCAACAATACTTCTCTTCACTCCTCTCACTGTAGACTGCACTTTGAGCTGAAGCACCACAATCCGGGTCACGGCACCAAAAAGATGTAACCCTCACGCACTGACAGTCTATATGTGGTCCCAGTTGTCTCAGCGCACCCAGCTTCAGGACCCTGCGTTGTGTTTGGTGATGTAAGAGTGGCTAGGTGTGGTGCGGGGAGAAGGATCACAGCAGACACAGCGGTTCTTTTTGATTGTGGAATGAGGGGCAGCCAGTGTATTTATTTGATGAGTTCCAATAGCGATAACAGGTGTTTCGTTCAGTTGCTTGGCTCATGGGACCTTATGGAGTAACGGCAGAGAGAAGACCAGCTAATTAGTCATTTACTACAACAATACAATTACCAATTATAAATTTCATGTTCACACACAGTGTACAACAATAATAATAATAAAATATCATAAAATAAGAAAAACTATTATTTAGTAAATGGTTGGTAAATTTGGTAAATGGTCACCACAATAGGCTACAACACACTACACAACGCATCAACGGACTCTGACTGCTCCCAACTGCTAGCGTAAAATCAAGTGCCATAAAACGAACAAACCAATGTGCTGGTCATTCAGAACAGGACCAATAATGAGTAAAACATTTTCCTTAACCTATTTGGTGCAATTAACATGAAGATGGCAAATATCAACAAAGATGTTGATAGATCTGATTAACTGCGATTGACAGTGCCTACCTTACGGAGTAAGGACAGAGAGAAGAGGCCGAGAGGCGTCTACGCAGCCTCTTCGCGCTGCCGCTACGGTGGCCGCACTTGGACATGGGCCAAAAACAACAAAAACAGTAACTGCGGTCTCGACAAGTAAACAAAGTACACGAGTACCACCTAGTGGTCACTCCCTTACATATATATATATATATATATATATATATATATATATATATATATATATATATATATATATATATATATACACACACATATACACACACACATACACACACACATACATTATATATATATATATATATATATATATATATATATATATATATATATATATATATATATATATATATATATATATATATATTTGTAACTGCACTGTAACTGATTTGAACCAAATAACATTTCAGGCCCTCCTCCAGACCAAATCAGAGTGAGCGAGGTTTGTGGAGATGGCCACAATTACGACACATGTTTTCAGAGAGTAATAAACATAAAACAACATGAAATAAATATATATATTTTTTAAGTTACATATTGTGTGTTCTTTATGGCTTCATTTATTTTACCTAAGCAGTAACTGCAGTAATAGCCAGAAGGTGGTAGTAAAGATGAGCTCAAGCTGCAGCTCTGAGACACTGCACCCGAAGGAGGGTTGCCAAGTCTGAGTATTTATATCGTCTTTTTAGAAAGCTAGTTTAGAAACTAGTTTTAGAAAGCCGCTTGCAAATATTAACAGTCACGAATTGTGTGACCAAGTAATGAGAACATGCTTTTAGCAATTGATTAAACTCTAAAGCTGTTACTCAGGTAAATATGCTATTAAAATGCGCATTTTATTCGGATTCGTTCAGTGGCAAAACACGGCCTATAACTAGATGTTTTTGGTTTTTTTTTTTAACTTACTTTGGTGGGACTCGGACGCTTGTATTGGGGCTTTTTTCAGAGGCTCGGTCGCTTATTTCTCTCCGAAAATCTGGCAACCCTGACCCGAAGAAGAATACGGAGAATGACGAGATCCAGAGCCGAAAATAGACCAGCTACTTTTCAGTCAACGCTTTGTTAACACGATTATATCTAAATAACGTTATTGAACACCGTAGCACTGAATTGGCTAAAGTATGACAGAGCCCCAGTCTGCATTGTTGCTCAAGAAACAGCTTGCAGGTAATTAAAACCACCCAAGTGTTAACTGGTGACGGCATTTGCGCTAGCACAGCCGTTAGCTGTTAGTGAAAGACTGATGCTGGCGCAAACTGTTTCCTGAACCTTCTACATAACCTACACACAAATGATACAAATTTATCATATCCAGACATCATCGGTGGTGTGATACGGATGTGATTGTGTCTGTTTGGTGTCTGGTTGGTCCCAGTTTGCTGTTTGTACAACTTGTTTTCTCATATCTTTTGCTGTTCAGTTGAAGCCGCTGTCAGAAGTCTCAACGGCTTTCACAGTGCAGCACTGTTAGCTGTTAGCACTTAGCATTGCCTGTGTTTACAAACAGTCCCGACAGCACAACGATCCGCGTTTCATGCATTTTGGTAAAAAAATGTTTTGGATTCACTTAAAGGAGACATATGATGATGCTAAATCTACTTTCATAAGCTTTTAACCACGCTGTAATGATGTTCCCTTAGCATTTCCTTATGTTTTTCATGCATGTTTGAATAAGCCTGCATTGTCCTGCATTTGAGGTTTCAGTGCTCTGAAAAAATCAGTTTTGACTGATCTCCTATCCCCACCCACTGCTCTGTATTTATTTGAGTGCGATTTAAAAAAAAGCTGACTGTCATTTATAAAATTTTAAAAAGTCACAGCTATTTTTCAACAATAAAACCATCAACAAAAATCTGCTGCTTGCTACAGTGAAATACCGCCGTAAAGAAGTGGGTCTTGCAGTTTTGCAGTCTAAATAGGAAGGAGTGGGACGGTGGTCGAGTGGCTGGTACTTATGTTTCACAGCAAGAAGGTTCTGGGTTAGATTTGCAGGTCTCCCGGGCCTTTCTGTATGAAGTTTATATGTTTCTCCTCGTGTAGAGCTGGGTTTCCTGTGGGTGCTCCTGTTTTCCCCATCAAATAGTGTTTTTATATGGACCCTGATATCTGTGCTTTCGGGCACAACAATCTTTTACCAAGCTGAATTATTTAACAACAACAAAAAAAACATACACAATGGGTACAATCCTTGGGTTAACGTAATCCTGATCAAGCCAGCAACATCTGAAAATGGGTCCCCAGGCACTGAACTGCAATGCCTCACTGCTCCTGGCCCAGAGGCACTGAAGCATGGGTCAAATGCAGAGGGCACATTTCCTCTACAGGGACAACTAAATGTACCTTATTCTGATTATTTATATATATATTTTTTAAATGAATATTGGGGTTTACAATGAATTAACATGTTATAGTTACCATAAAATGGGCCTAATATGTCTTTATGCCCATTTTATGGTAACTATAACTATATGTCTTTTTTATTAAGGTCAATGATGAAATTATTAGCACAATGTGATAAGCCATCCTAGTGAAAACAAACGGTATATGTTTTTGTAATTTATTTATGTTCTTTTCAGAGCTGAACAAAAACCCAGTGGAGGGATTCTCGGCAGGTTTGATTGAGGAAAGTGACCTCTACAGATGGGAAGTCCTCATAATTGGTCCCCCAGACACACTATAGTAAGTGCTACACATAGACTGTTTTGCATTATGTTTATCACTGTCAAGGACAAAGCATACTTTATTTTGTTCACAGTGAGGGTGGTGTTTTCAAAGCTCACCTGACGTTTCCCAAAGACTACCCTCAAAGACCTCCCAAAATGAAGTTTGTTACAGATATTTGGCACCCTAATGGTAGGTACAGGGACACCTACTTCTTTCATAACTACATTTGAACTAGCAAACTGGTTTATGGCACTTTATGGCTGGCCAATACAAAGACACAAAATTTTGCATCATAATTGCACTCAATCATTTTTACTCTCAGTCATTAACATTGAGTTATTTTTTTGTGCATTGACTAACACAGGTCAAAGTACCAATATTTGTTTTCCTGAGTACCACCAGGTCTAAAATGAGGCTAAACCATGGTTAAGTTAGTTTTAAATAGAGAGTACACAAATATTAATAGAATTCACTGGAAATTAAACAAATACTCCAACTCCAGTGACACACAAACCATAGTTTGAGGAAACATTGGACTAACGGGCTGGTTTTTTTTCCCAGTTGACAAGAATGGAGATGTATGTATTTCTATTTTACACGAGCCTGGGGAGGATAAGTATGGCTATGAGAAACCTGAAGAGCGCTGGCTGCCCATCCACACAGTTGAAACCATCATGATTAGTGTTATCTCTATGCTGGCAGACCCAAACGGTGACTCCCCAGCAAATGTGGACGCTGCTGTAAGTGCGGTCTCTTAAGTTCATGTAGTGCATTGTGCAAAAAAAGAGACCTCTTCAAATATCATATTATTTTCGTATTTAATATTTCTTCCTCTTTGCAGAAACAATGGAGAGAGGACAGAAATGGTGAATTCAAAAGAGAAGTTTCCCGTTGTGTACGAAGAAGCCAAGAGATGGCATTTGAGTGATATTTAGCATGATTCTAACTCAATGTTTTCAGGGTAAGTCTTTTTATGTTAAAACTATGTTAAAATGTTATGTTTAAGACCTTTCTGTCCAAAGATACAGTATGTGTAAACAGATAATTGTCTTCACTGTCTAACCAACTTTGACCTTTCTTGCTTTGTTTATACCGAAGTGTAATTATTTATGCTTTTTCTCATTTAGTTTTGCCTTTCTCCAGGTTTCAACTTTTCAATCGACATGGCACTGTCTCTTGTTCCATTTGGGATCAGACCTGTCCTCCTATTTTCAGCAGAACTGGTCTGGCTTTTCCTCGGGCTGCAACTGAACATACCAGTGACTACCAAGGCTGAATGAAAGCCAAGCAAGTGCCAACAAAACAGGAAAAATAATAATTACAGTTTTATTTGAGTCTATGAACTGCTTCAATCTTCAGGAAGATATTGTAAAGACATGTAAATAGCACAGACTAAACCGGATAATATATTCACTTTTTCCATTCGTTAGGAGTCTTTGACCAAATAAATAGCACTGGTTTATTTTTCTCTACTTTTCCTTTCCATTTTGAGTGTGCATTAGTTTTTGTTTTAAATGGATGTCCTTACAAGATGGTGGGATGCCTCTGGATATACCTGATCTCACAAGAGCTCAAGAAAGTCTTCAAATACCCCATTGTTGCTTTTAATTACAAACTATATTAAATTAAGATTAATAAAGTTACCGCAACAGTTATGTTTTGTTATCAGATTAAAGTCTTACTTATAGCCACTAACTCACAGAAAATCCCCTTTGTGTGCATGTAGTTTTTTTGTTGACATTTTTCTAAAGTGCCTCCTAATAAAATCCCTGGCTTCTAAACCCTGAATTTAACACATTGAAATGAAAAGATAAGCATTTTGTAAACAAGTCAAAATTGTATCATACCAATGGTGAGTTCTTGGTGTAGCAATAATCTGGTATCGCATAATTTTCAATATTCTTTTATTTTATTTGCTATTTAACGTGTGTGTCGTCCGTAGGAATTGTTGTGCATGCTTTAGTCTTTTTATAGTTTACTTTTTGATGAATGGGATTCTAGTTTGCAAGCTTGTGTGTTTCTGTAAAGATCTGTCTCTTGTTTTCTTTTTTGACCAACTTTACTTGATCCAATCTCCTCACTGCTCTCAGATTTATTTCCTGGTCTCCTCTATGTACAAAGAAAAATACTGATGTATATTTTTCCTGTTATGAAATTTGTCTTCTGTAGTGACTTCTAAAGTTGTAAAGTTCTAAATTTTTTTCAATATTCTGTGTGGCTTTTATTTCAGTGTAACACAACATTAGGAATAGTTTTGATTGAAGGTTAAGGTTTTGTGGAAATGAATGACAGTTGTATTTGAGCTCAGTTATTCGAACTAATTGATCGTTTACTTAAAAAAAAAAAAAGATCACATTGAAGATTGAGATCTTCACTTAATTTCACCTAATGGATACTAAACTGTCCTGTGTTCTTCACTAAGGAGGAAGACTGTGTGGGGAAACGTTACGCACTATGTAACCTTCCTAGAGGGAAGCCAGCTGCCTACTTGTCTTCAGTGAGATGTTATTGCTTTGAGTGTTCCATATTATGGTATTTAACCTATCTGCACTACATTTATCCATTTACAGGTGTTTTAATGGACAAATATCCCTGGATAATTATGTCTTACTGGGAGTGGGGATGTCTCAACAAATCTAACCTTTAACTAGTTGATGGCATACCTTACCTGCTTGTCTACATAAATTTACTTGTAGATGTTAGAATGTAAAAATGTAGAATATTAAATGCTATAGTGTGGAACATTCCAGGCAAAACTATTACATGTAGACTTTAGAATGAATAAGTTCTTATAAAAGTTCTTATAAAAGTATGATATAGACGTGAAGGTGGCGTACTCTCTACTAGAAAAGTTATATACCATATACCATACCACCGTATATCAATATAGGTAGATCTTTAAACAGAGACGGATTGTACTTAATAGGAATTATGTGGGTTTGAGAGGAATTAAAATGTGAATATGGATTTTACTTGAGTCCCGTGAACGCCGCCCGGTGCTGTTTGGCCTCGGCGGTATCGCGATACCAGAGTCAGGTCGCGGAGCTCGCCCGGAGCAACATGGCGGAAGGTATGAGATTGATTTTTTTTTGGTCTTTAGCACACACCCGTTCACCGTGTTATGCATTTTAACATTACGGCGTTACAATATGCATCTCGTAACTTAAGAGTGACAGAGCTTTAATAACGTGAATAACCAATGGAAAAGGCGTCAGGAAACTCAATAGTGGGTGGTCGTTATGTTGCTAGCTGATTTTTACTGTAGTTAGCCGAACTGAGCTGTCAGGTGGGGTTTTAATCACTATGGTTGGGTAGCGTTTGGTTGATTGTCTTTCAACTTAGTGTTAACTTGTTTTAATTGGCTGACTTGCAGTTGGATTTACTGCATGAGAACTGCTTCTGAGTTGGAAGCCTTTATGCAAATGTTGTAACCTTTCTACTGGTTTTATTTCAACAAAATGTAATCTTTTTGATCTATAAAAATAACTACACATTTACAGATGCAAAGTTGATAGTAATGCCGTAAAATCAATGTTCAAATAGTTTTCTCATTGTCAGTAACTCTCATATTAATCCAAACAAAATTAACAATAAACAAATTGTGCTGTAGGGTAGTGTGTTTAGGAAAAGAACCTATATTTTTCACTTGCTATTGCAACCCTTTCTATAAGGGTTTTATTATCCGTGTTAATGTACTATAACCTGTTAGTATGCAAGTATCTATGTATAAGAAGAGCATAGACCCATCATCTCCATGTGTCCCATGACCAGAATCCCTTTACGAGAAAGGCCAAAGTAACATGCTGACCTCGGCATTATTTTTCAACTGAAACTTTACTGCTTTAAAAGGAAGGAAATGGGGTGAGTGGACTCAGCTTTGAGACTAGGCAATGACTCTTTTGGTAACACTGCAAAAGTATAAAGTCATTTCTTTAAGTGATTTCTTTCCATTTTTGAAATATGTCTCTTATCTGATCTTTTGACAACAGTATCTCATTGAGCAATTTAGTACATGAATGTAGGACTTGATTGTTGTAATTATTTTTAGTATTATCAATCTTAATAGACTAGTAGGGACAATACTTATACTGGTTTTGGATATCAGCACCAGTCATGGAAAATTTGTTGGATTCGGTATCAGTTCCTTATAATATTTGCACTAACATTCATACGCAACTGTTCAGTAGTTACCTGCAAGATAAATAACAGTTGCATAACACAAATTGATCCATTTTGTAATATGTTAACTAATATATTAACGCAGTTCAGTCTCTGCACTGTTATTGATTAATATTAGGTACCAGGAAATATTTAAGGCCAAAATATTATAAATTAAAAACTTTTGAAAGAATGGGTGCATTCACACTATTCTTGATTTGAGCACAGAGTAACCCTGAATCCTAATGTTCACTTAGTTTAGTCCTGGGCTAATTCAGGTTTGTTTCCAGGATTAGTTGAAGTTTAGTTAGAATTGTATGTGATGTGTGTGTGTATATGTGAATGCATGTTTGTCTTTGGCATCATGTTCCTTGGTACAGAGGAGGTGGCCAAGCTGCAGAAGCACCTGACTCTGCTTCGGCAGGAGTATGTGAAGATGCAGCAGAAGTTGGCCGACAGAGCGGCGCTGTGCAGTGCTGTCGGCTCAGGCCTCTGCTCAGGGTTCCGCTGCTCAGGGCTCCCCAGGACAAACCTCTGCAGACAGCTTCATCAGCCGTTTATTGGAGATCGTGGCAGATCTTTACCGACAGGAGCAGTACAGGTGATACTGGTGTTTTTGAGAAATGGTTTATGAGTGGTGGGTCAGTGGTTTTGACTTGTTTTGTTTTTAGTGACCTGAAGGTTAAGCTCGCAGGTGAAGAGCTCTGTGCACACAAGTTTGTGTTAGCAGCACGCAGTGATGTCTGGAGCCTGACCAACATGGCCTCTACATCTGAACTGGACCTCTCTGGTAAGACCTTTGCAACGATGTGCTTTTTAAAGCACTCAAAGAGCTCATTGTCATTCATTGGTGAATTTTTAAATTTATCTATAGATATATAAATCCATTTGGAAAGCTGTAATCAGCCTAAAATTGTATTCACTCTTGAAACAATATGTCTACAACATAATGTTATTATATGTACAGCTGTCTTAGCGATTTGCACTGTTTTATTTATTTATTTATTTATTTGATTGGGACAGAGCATGTTAATGAACAAACATGACAACATGAATGTAAACACACCGGATTGTAGCCTAAGGCTAATTTCCATCCGTTGTCCCAAAACTGTGTATTTTTTTATTTATTATCCAGCAAAAGTTTAAAGTAACTTAAACTTGGTCTTCTTTCAGATTGCAAAGCCGATGTTGCCATTGCAATGTTGCGTTGGGCTTATACGGACGAATTAGAACTTAGTGAGGATGATGCCTTTCTTATTGACTTAATGAAGCTGGCCAATCGTTTTCAACTTCAGTTGCTTAGAGAGAGGTCAGTGTATGACTTTCTATACATTATCATACATGTTTTGTACTAAAATATCTTTCTCTCTCCCTAGATGTGAAAAGGGTGTAATGTCCTCTGTAAATGTCAGAAACTGCATTCGGTTTTATCAAACAGCAGAAGAACTGAATGCCGCCACTTTAATGAACTATTGTGGAGAGATTATTGCCAGTCACTGGGTAAGTAACAGGCCATTATATTTTAGAATAATATGACGCTCATGATTATTATGAACCATTATGATCTTAATAAATGAAAACATCATAAATATGTATAATCACTTCACCTGACTGCTGTGTCTGTGCTTTCTGTATTTTTTTGTTTTTTTAGGATGACCTCAGAAAGGAGGATTTCAGTACTATGAGCGCCCAACTGCTGTACAAAATGATCAAGTCTAAAACAGAGTATCCTCTTCACAAAGCTATTAAAGTAGAAAGGGAAGACGTGGTCTTTCTGTATCTGATTGAAATGGATTCACAGGTTAGTAGCTCAAATCATTCTACGTTAAAACTTTCTTTTTTTCATATTTTTTTTTTTTGTAGCTGCCTGCTAAGCTAAATGAACTAGATAACAATGGAGATCTGGCACTTGATCTGGCACTTTCCCGAAAATTAGAGAGCATCGCCACCACTCTGGTAAACAACAAGGCCGATGTGGACATGGTGGATCAGAGCGGCTGGAGCCTGCTGCACAAGGCCATTCAGAGAGGTTAGGAGTTACCTCTTTTAGTTCTATTATTTGTTATTGGTATGCAGAACTAGGCCTGTCACTATAAAATTTCTGCAAGTGTGATATATTGTTACATAATATAATAATAAAATAATATTGAAGACGCTTGAGCTGAAAAGTAAACCACATTATAAAGAAGATTAATCAATAGAAAATATCTGCAAGAATAAAATGGCATGATGAAACAAACTAGTAGATTACATACATAAGTATCAATAAAGAGCCATACATATATCATCTACCTGAAAAAAATAACTTAAAGTATGAGCACTAGTGTAAATAAAATGTACAGATGGTTAATATTAAGACAAAAAAGTATATCCCTTATTTACTGAACGATAAGTTGATGTAATAATTATCATGACCTATGCAGAACTTGGTTACTAATTTCCTGAATGCTAATATGTTTTTATTTATTTCAACTAGGTGATGAATTTGCCTCCATATTCCTAATCCGACACTCGGCTCAGGTGAATGCTGCCACTGTGGGCGCAGTAGAAACACCTTTGCACTTGGTTTGCTCTTTTAGTCCTAAAAAACACTCTGCAGAAGTCATGGCTGGAATGGCACAGATAGCTGAAGCTTTACTCAAGGCCGGAGCCAATCCTAACATGCAGAACAGCAAGGGAAGGTAGGTTACATGATTTGTACTAGGGATGGGCATTCGATGAAATTTTCTTAATCGATCGTCGGAAGAATTAACGATCGATTATCGATTAATCATTAACGTTTTTATATTAAAATTATCATCATTATTATTACTATCCGCACTACTTACCTGCATAAATAAATTCAACTTTACGACATATAAACCGTAACGACTCTAGAGCCACATCAATCCGTTTGACATTATAATGTGTTTAATTCATTTTTGCGCAACTCTCACAGAAACGAAACTTAAAACCGCATCGCTAATTTGCATAAACTCAGCGAAGATAAAAATACAGCTCTTGTGCGCTGATGCGGTCAATTTCTGTCGGATTAAAAGACATGATTCAGTGGAATACAGGTTAGTGTGACCAGATTTGCGTTTGTCAAAACCAGGACACTGAATGAGGGGTGGGAGGTGGGGACTCGTCATCGACATTGCGCGACTCTCACCTGGTAAAACTTTTTCCCACTGGACACCGAAACATATGTGCTGCTTTGTACACTGTGTACATGGACTCCCACTTGTCCCGAACGCAACAGAAAGCGTGGAATTTCTTGTACAAATCATCGTTAAATACACATTTGTGCTTCGGCACGCTGCAGACTGACCTACTGTTTGTGTCTCGCTCCTTCTGAGTGCAGAAAGCTACATGTACGGACCCCTGTTTGGTCACGCTACGCACAGCAACCTACATTCGGTTTGTCGATTAAAATCAACGTAATCGATGAAATTCTTAATGATCAATTATCGATTAATCATGCCCATCCCTAATTTGTACTTCCCTGCAAAGAAATAGTGTTGAATTTATTTATATAATTTCAGAACGCCTTTACACGAAGCTGTGACGTCAGGAAATGAGCCAGTTTTCAGACAGCTTCTACAGTGCAAACAGTAAGTGTGTTTTTACAGTAGTTGTTGTCTTTGTAATCCCCCTGTTGTCCAAGTTGGTTTTATGGCAAAAGGTTATATTACTTCAATGTATGTTTTCACTCTTTGGCAATTATTGACATAATGTAATCTTGCCACAATAGTTGTTGACTAATGTCTGATGAAAAGTGCTATTGTGGTAACTATGGATGTGTTTTTGTTTTGTTAGGCTTGACCTGGAACTCAAAGATCATGAAGGCAGCACACCATTGTGGCTGGCCTTGCAATATATAACAGTTTCTACAGATTCCTCTGTAAATCCATTTGAAGATGAGGCACCGGTAGTAAATGGCACTTCCTTTGATGAAAATAGCTTTGCAGCACAGCTCATCCACAGAGGAAGCAACCCCGATGCTCCGGACACAACCACAGGTACAATATAATCTGTGTTCTTTTTTTATTGTCTCTGTGTGTTTCCATTAATTTTTTATTTTTATTTGTTGGTTTGTTTTTTGTGTAGAAAATTGCCTCTTGCAGAGAGCAGCTCTGGCATACAATGAGGCAGCTGCCCTTTTCTTAGCTACACATGGGGCAAAGGTGAATCATGTGAACAAATGGGTAAGTATAAGCTTTGGGGACTTTGAATATTGCATAAGATTAGATTTAATGTTACACTGTCAGGCTCATAATTCCCTTAACATATTTAATGCACTATTAAATCAAAAGTTTATACCATGTATGTGTAAGATTTAGTTTATTTTCAGGGTGAAAGTCCACTTCACACTGCATGTCGCTGTGGCCTTGCCAATTTAACTGCAGAGCTCCTCCAGCAGGGTGCAAACCCCAACCTACAGACACAGAAGGCTCTACCTGATGACAACCATGGTGTGGCTATGCAGACCCCACTACACATGGCCATTGCACACAATCACCCAGATGTGGTCTCTGTCATTCTTGAACAAAAAGGTTTTTAAATGATTCTGTATTTATTATTATTATTATTATTATTTATCACAGTCATTGCAAAGCTCTAAATGCTCTAAATGATTGTGTTACAGCAAATGCCCTTCATGCAACGAACAATTTCCAGATTATTCCTGACTTCAGCCTCAAAGACTCAATAGACCAGACTGTGCTTGGCTTGGCTCTATGGACAGGTATGCAGCAAAAGTATTAATAATAATGCGGTATTTTTCTTTGTGTCCCTGAGAAATGTGACGCCCACCTCCTGATGTAGGAGGTGGGCACTCACTTAAAATAATGCTTATGTTTTCTCAGAAAGGTTAGGAGTGAAGTGGTCTGATTGGGGTCTGATTGTAGACTGTTGAACAAACATATCCACATCATTCACCCATATCCGTCAAAAACGTTTATTTGTAAAGTTCTCATTACTTCTTACTCTTCTCCTCTCTTATAGGCATGCACACAATAGCAGCACAGCTGCTAGGCTCAGGGGCTTCTATTAATGACACTATGTCCAATGGACAAACCCTGCTTCACATGGCAATCCAAAGACAAGACAGTAAAAGTGCCCTCTTCCTTCTTGAGCATCAGGCAGACATCAATGTGAGGTGAGTTGTAATCATATTGTTGAGCACCATCTTGGCATGTGCATAAACAAAAGAGGCACGACATAATGTATGCTCTTTCCTCCAAAAGGACACAAGAGGGACAAACAGCACTACAATTAGCCATCAGTAACCAGCTCCCCCTGGTGGTGGATGCTCTCTGCACACGAGGAGCTGATATGTCTGTTGTTGATGACAAAGGAGACCCACCTCTGTGGCTAGCCTTGGTCAATGGTTTGGAGGATATTGCTTCCACCCTGGTGAGTTCATAAGTACACATATGATAAGAGGCCTTTTATGAAATATGATGCTATTTAGAAATATATGTTTAGAGAAAAGACAATAGTACTTAATTTAAGAGGTAGGTTGTGTTTTTCTTTCATTCTTCTTAGGTCCGTCATGGGTGTGATGCCACCTGTTGGAGCCCGGGCCCTTCTGGTTGCCAGCAGACACTTTTGCACAGAGCCGTTGACGAGAACAATGAGGTCATTGCTTGCTTTCTCATCCGCAGGTATTCAAAAAGCAACATATTTTGGATAAACATTGAATCATTAATACCATGTTTGTTTTGAATTGCCCTTGTTAAAACATAAACATTTACAATCTTAACTCTGTATTTGTAGTGGGTGTGACGTGAACAGTTCCAGGAGACCAGGACCAAATGGAGAAGGAGATGAAGAAGCCAGAGATGGACAAACGCCTCTACACCTAGCAAGCAGCTGGGGCCTGGAGGAGGTAGTGCAGTGCCTTCTAGAGTTTGGAGCAAATGTTAACGCACAGGTTAGTCACTACATTAACCTGTACACCCTCAAAGTATAAGTATGGAACAACAAAACATATCTGTAATTTTCCTGTTAGGATGCAGAGGGCAGAGCTCCCATTCATGCTGCCATTAGCAGCCAACACAATGTGATTATACAGTTACTTATTTCCCATCCTGAGATCCGCCTCACCATTCGTGACCGTCAAGGAATGACCCCTTTTGCTTGTGCCATGACGTACAAAAACAATAAGGCTGCAGAAGCTATTCTTAAGCGGGAGCCTGGTGCTGCTGAGCAGGTAATGCTGTACAAATATTAGACTGGTTTTATATGTTAACATATAATTAACAGTATATTAAATCAAATACATCGATTTGTGACATCCCACCTTGTGCTTTTGTTTAGGTGGATAACAAAGGGCGCAACTTTCTTCACGTAGCTGTGCAGAATTCAGACATTGAAAGTGTCTTGTTCCTCATAAGTGTCCAAGCAAATGTCAACTCCAGGGTTCAGGATTCAGCCAAGCTCACCCCTCTCCATTTAGCCGTCCAAGCTGGATCTGAGATTATTGTGCGCAACTTGGTATGTGTATAGATCAGTTGTGACACTTATTTAATTAAGTAAAAAATCTAATTAAACCCTTTTTTCAGTTACTTGCTGGTGCTAAAATCAATGAGATGACAAAGCACAGACAGACTGCTCTCCATTTAGCTGCCCAACAGGACCTTGCCACCATTTGTTCTGTTTTGTTGGAAAATGGAATTGACTTTGCTGCAGAAGATGAAAACGGCAACAATGGTATTTAAATGCTTTTGATGAAAGTTTATGGAGAAGTGAATTAATTTTGTGATTTTTTTTTTAATAATAGTTCTTATATATATATATAAAGTCTGCTTATATGTCTAATAAGTATATATTTTTCTGCAGCTCTGCACTTGGCTGTGATGCAGGGCCGCCTTAACAATGTCAGAGTACTTCTCACAGAGTCCACTATTGATGCAGAGGCCTTCAATCTCAGGTATTTTCCTTGCGTTTCCCTTTTTCTTTCTCATTTCTTTGTTTATATTTGGAATGATGACTTTCTCGTGTAAATGTCAGGGGTCAGTCACCAATGCACGTACTGGGCCATTATGGAAAGGAGAATGCTGCCGCCATTTTTGAATTGTTCCTGGAGTGTATGCCCGAGTATCCTCTTGACAAACCAGACAATGAAGGGAACACAGGTGCGTTATACATTCACTTCGTTTGAAGTAAATACAACAAATTTCTAAAACATGCTTGCTTATTCTGCAGTTCTTCTTTTGGCATACATGAAGGGAAATGCTAATTTATGCCGTGCCATCGTAAGAGCAGGAGCTAGACTTGGTGTCAATAATAATCAGGGCATTAACATTTTTAATTACCAAGTTGCAACCAAACAGCTGCTCTTTCGCCTTTTAGGTCAGTTACTACACACATTTTGATAATTTGATGTTTTTAGTCTGTTTTTACATGCTTTATTTTTACTTTATTTAGACATGCTTTCCAAAGAGCCCCCATGGTGTGATGGATCAAACTGTTATGAATGTGGTGCCAAATTTGGTGTTACAACACGGAAACATCACTGGTACAATTTTTTAAATATATTTTACAGTTAAAAATGCACAGCAGATTTGCAATTTACATGGTTTAATTGTTGCTTGTTTTTTTTTTTCTTTTTTTCTTTATAGCCGTCACTGTGGGCGTCTGTTGTGCCACAAGTGCTCTATAAAAGAGATCCCAATAATTAAGTTTGATCTGAACAAGCCTGTGAGGGTGTGTGACATCTGCTTTGATGTACTGACTTTGGGAGGGGTATCATAAGTCCAGTGTTTCTATATTTTTCAAAGGCCTATTATTGGACAGTTATTCAGGAGTACAACGAGGACTTCATTAGTGACAGTAACAAATGGCAGTTTTGGATCATTACCGATATACTATTACAGTATAGAATATATAGAAAAAATATTATGTAGACTTTTCAACTATGGAATATTTTTTAGATCAAAATATACAATTGACAAGTGACTTCCCACACTGATGACCACTTTCTGTAGCAGACATCTGTTGTAACTTCAGTTATGATTTAAAGATATCATCGTTAACGTTAAGGAAGTTGTAAGTTGCACATTGCAAAAACCCAAGAGACTGTTGTTAAGAAATGGAACTTGACTCGCATGCAATGCGTTCCCTTTAACACTATTTGCAACTGTTGCTAACTTTTAAACGTAATAGATTGGGTTTAATGAAACTAGAAAAAGGGTCTTTTATACAGGAAAGAGTATGCTCTTGGTCCTCAGCCCACACAACAAAATATCAACATGATTTTAATTCTTTGTTCCAGTAAATTAAGTGGCATGTTTGAAAACTCAAAAAATACATTCCATTTTGACCTACACATATGATGGTAGTTCCACAGGGTTGCCTCCAATGATTTGGGTCAATGCTTCTTAATTTCTAAGCCTAACAGGTGCACTTTATAAAAATGACATGACATTTCAGATCAGCGGGGGAATGTGGAGAGACATAATGGCCGTGTAGTGGCGCTCAATTAAGTATTGTTAAATTGTACAGATAAATGTGTGATATTTTTGACCACTACAACAGTTTTGTACTTAATGCAGTTTGTGCTTGTCATTGTGACAAACCTAAATCTTGCCGCTGTTAACCTTTTATGCACATTGTTTAATCTTTTATGCACATTGTATTGTATCTGTATGCTCAAATATCTAGCCTGTTCCTTCTGATGTATCCTTTTAGAGAAAGGAGGGACAACTTTACATAAAGGCAATCAAAAACAAAAATGTGCTTTATTGTGTTTTGCTACAAAGGAATGGTACAAAAACTGAAACTAATCAAGTCTGATAAGGCACGATTCAGAAGATGATGAACAGCCTTGATATTTCTTTAAACTAGGATCATCTTCAGATGGGTTTTCAACACAGACGCAACGAGCAACATTGGACCCAGGACTATAGAGCTGTCTTGGAACACCAGTCCACTTCCTGTCAACTCCACCACTGAATAAAAAAAGAGAAAAACTACATTAAATAACTTTCAAAAAAGGGGAGGTCTAAATCTCTTTGCATCACTGAATAATGTAACCTGTATACAGTGTTTTGATTTAAATACCTCTTGGTAGAACACCAGACCCGTCCCCCAGTAGACCCACTCCATTCAGAGTTACATGGTGGAAAGCGAGTCTTATCAGCTTCAGATTGTGCTTTGAGTCTGAGGCCTTCAGCTACCGATGCCTCTACCTGTAGAAGAGTGTCTGTAGGCTCCCCACTTTCTGTATAATATCTCCCAATAAGGAGCCCTTAAACAATACACATGTAACACATAATACAATTCACTTTTCAGAGCTATGATTTCTAATGACACACATACCTACATGTTGGTATTGCCTGTGATAAAAGGATAACCACTCGTATAAAGCCACCAGCTGCAAAGGAGACAAGCTGGAAACATCATCTGTCAGTCCACTTTCTGTGAAATCCCCTGTGATGAAGGACAGTGAGGCATCTTTTCCTAAAATACAGTTTAATATTTTAAAATAGACATACGGTTTAATATATAAAAATAAACAATCAAATTAAATTATTGTTATTTTCATGCAAGAGATTTTTACTGATCCCCTGATGATGAGATTTTAATAAATCAATAAATAAAACAATAAAATTCACCTGTCATGAAATGATAAGCTCCACCTGGTCCATAATGCTTCTCTCCTTTACTTACATCAAAGATGTGGCCCAGTAAGGCCAAGTATAGGCCTTTACTGCCTTGCTCGCCATTGTAAAATGACAATTCATACGAGTTTAAGAGTCGCATAGATGCTGATTCTTTTCTGAACGTGAGAGACCATTTGTGTGGAATAAATATCGCTGCGAGGAGTACAGATAAAAACGCAACTAACACATAGCCCAACATAGTTTTTTCCCTGAAAATATTGCTATCTTCAGTAATAATTTCATATCGCATTAAAATGAAAATTAAAATAAAGAATCCAAAATTTATCAGGCAGGTGCTTCCTGTAATGTGACCTTGCGCATGCGCAGGACATGAACGCACGGGACGTTCCTTTGCAAAGTGACGTTCCGTACGTCAATGCGGTAGTGGAGACAGCTCTACTCTGTGCTCGGGTGTAGGTTAGAGAGGGCTGTGATCAGAACAAAAGTAACACTTTGTGGGCCGCAGAGATTTTAGGGGAGACTGTAGGTGGGCAAGATCAACATGGGGAATTCGGAGAGTGGCTGCGGGGGAGGCAGTGGCGACGAGGAGGACATGGAAACGGAGAGTCCCGGTTTCGCGGAAGACAGTCCGGCCTCTGCGGCCACTGGCGTCGGTGTTGGTGGCGGCGGAGGCACTGGTTCTGGCAGAAGCGGTAGAGGATCAAATGGCCTGTCGGTGCCCACTGGTGGACCCCCCAATCCCGAGGCTCTCCTGGAACAAGTGAAACTCAGGGAAGCTGCAGCTCGCATCAGTGATTCAGGAGTGGCTATCCCGGAGTCGGTTTTGGCCGGGAATGAAGGTGTTCTTGTGCGGTGGCTGGAGGACCGGCTGAACCGTGGAGAAGAGTCTGTCAATGTGGAACAGTTTTGTGAGATGTTGGAAAGCAGAGATGCACCCAGAGAAGAGTGTGAAGAGGTACAGCAACATACACATACTCACCTGTGTGTATATTTACCTGGTCTCATTGATGTGAACATTTCATAAAGTTTGAGAAATGTTTGTGTTTTTGAAATCTCTCCAGGACAGGTACACAAAGGTCACAAATAGTCTCAGGCCAGTTGTCATTGTTTGAAAGGCTGTAGTTACAGCATACTGCTTTGTTGTCACTGTGTTTGGCTATTATCCCTGCACGTGAATAGGTGAATGTTGTCATGCAATTTACGCACTGTGGGAGTGCATTCCATAGTTGTGTTATATGTTTATCTTGTAAAACTATGAGTTAAGAAGACACATTTAATGACATTTCTATTTCCTCAGGCGTTTGGTCAGTTTGATGCTGAAGGAGATGGGGTGGTGGATGTAGAAACTATGCTGATTGCCTTAAAGAACTCCAATGGGGCCAATCTACAGGGAGAACTCAGTCATGTAATTAGACAACTACAGGCATGCTCACTAACTCCAGGTATATCTTTACAACTCAAGAAATAGCAAGGAAAAAACTAATTAGTCAAAAATATATGTTTTATTTATGTTTGTGTATTGTCCTTTTTTCCTTTTAGGTTTTGTTGACATTTTCTCCAAGACCAAAGACCGGTTAGGGGCACATGCTTCTAAGATCCTCAAATTCTTACATAGGAATCGTATTCCCAGCAGTGCCATCCCTTTCCCTCTTTTAGAGGGCTATAACAGTATCTGCACCATGAGGTCCACAGTTGTCCAGGACTATTTAGAGTTCCTCCTACAGAAAGAAAAAGGTAAGTAACAGTACTCTTTACATGATAACTGAAATAATTGTTTGGTTAGCTTGAACAAATACTGTCTAGAACAGCTCCCATGCACATACATAACTGACTGTTATTTGTGTGTGTGTCTTTTTTCTTAAGATTTAGATATCCAGTACAGAGCAGAGCTCAACCGTGATCCAGATGTAGACAAGGTCAAGGTGGTCACTCAGTGTTACAGCACGATTGAAGCATCATCGAATATTTCAGATATTTACAAAATGACAAATGGTGAAACATCGTCTTTCTGGCAGTCCGATGGCAGCGCTCGTTCACACTGGATCAGGCAAGAACATTTTCTGAGATTTCTAGTGTTTTTGTTCAGTAATTGTGTTGGATCACAGTCTCTGTTTTCTCTTTTCTCAGATTAAAAATGAAACCAGATGTGGTTTTGAGGCGTTTGGCCATCGCTGTTGCTTCCAATGACCACAGCTATATGCCTCAGCTTGTCTCAGTGGCAGTAGGAAAAAATAGACGTTCATTGCAGGAAATAAAAGACATCCGTATCCCAAGCAATGTCACAGGCTATGTAGCCCTTTTGGAAAATGCCAACATCACACACCCATGTGAGTCATCCTCTGTCAGTCTCTTTGTTTTGTTAATTTGGCCAACACTTCAGTTACACTATCTTATCTAACTATTTGATCTTATCTTATCTTCTTTATTCTTCTTATCTTATCTTATTTTAATATGTTATTTTATTATTTATTTTATTCAGTGTTGAGTATTTCATATCTTGTGTTAATCGGTCTAAGAATCAAACCATATTGCTTTATTTATTCCTGAGGGGAAATCTGAGCACATTGAGCAGTCAACATTCACAATTATAAACAATTTCAGCAATTCAATTTTTCTTTTTTTTTTAGATATTCAAATCAACATAAAGCGTTGCCTGAGTGATGGATGTGACACAAGGATTCATGGACTGAAGACACTGGGATATCAGATTACCAAGAGTAAGGACGTGTCTGTTTCGGATGCTTCAGCTATCTGGTACCTCTCTCTCCTCACCTCTTTGGTCACTGCTTCTATGGAGTCCAACGCAGCTCTGGCACACACTGTCCTTCAGAGCACACAGTAAGATGCATTTCATAATTTGACCTGTGTTTTGTTTTAAAATAAATCTGATAAATAATTTTGTGTGTTTCTAGAAAAACCTTAAGGCACATGCCACCTTTGTCTTTAACGCCATCATCTGCTGAGTTCCCTTTCTCCATGAACATCCTGGAGGAAGTGGATGGATTCCTCTTAAGGATAGCTGAGTAATGACATTTTGTAATATCAGCAAACTGTCTTATCTCTTTTACAGTTTGTAATGCTGACTTAATCACATTTAAAAACAAGCTAAAATCAAAGTATTGACTGGGGCTAGTGTGTCCTGTTTACACTGTAGTTAAATTATTTTAAGGGACTTTAGAAGGCAATTTTTATATGTAATATGACAATGAAGTGATCTATGTTTTTATTTGTTTATTTGTAGTTATTGTATGAGTCCCGATGCAGAGTTGACCCTCCTGGCTTTTGCACTGGCCAGAGGCAGTGTTACAAAAGTTCTCCATGCTCTATCCAGTATAAGCGACCATTTGGAGACAAAGTACAAGGCATCGTCCCTCATCACATCTATGGCTTCAGTCAGACTGCGTCTTCTCTACCGCAATGGTAACAAAAAAGCATTGATAATATTTAATAATAACTATGATTCAGACTAATTAAAGTACAATTTAAAAAACAATTTGTTCATTATTAATAAAGCTTTAATCATGCTTTATTAAGGCTATTTAAAGTACAGTTAATATAAGTGTTACTCCAGCATCTATTCACTGTTGAACTTATCAAGTTCTATTCATAGTGGTAGACTATACATTGCATCATATAATATTAATCTTTTTAAACAGGGAAGCATCTTCAGTTGCACTTACAGGCATGTGATGTGAAGAGCAAAGAGGAAAAATCTGGTCCAGAAAACATGCTGTCCGAGAACTCAACAGGAGATGGTAACTCTATGTTCTGTTTGTTTTGAAAATATTTAAATATACAAAATTCTTCAGAGCCATATCATGTTTTTACATTTCATGTGAAGGTTTTCTCACTGAAAATGGCAAGAGGAAAGCCAGCATAATCCTGTCAACAGAAGACCAGAGCAATTTTCAGGTCACTCAGATGAAAATCAAAGTAGGTTTTTTTTGTCTTTTTATTTAGTGAATTTTATCAAAATCAAGCCAAAAGAAAGACTGTGTTTCTTGTTTTAAGGTGCGAAAAGGCCCCATCGGCGCAAAATGTGGTTTAGTATTTGCCTACAGGGATGAAGACCCTTTTGATGCCGAGAAACATTTCAAGAAATTTAAAAAATTTGACTCATGGGACTACAGAGATTACAAAGAGTTTGTTCAAAATAAGTGAGTATTCCTACTTCAGATGAGCCATTTCCAATTTGTGTTTTAGAATAATTTGTGAAAGTTTTCCTATTAAAATTATCTACTGATCTGCAGTGTAAAATCTGCTCGATTGTCTGAAGATGACCCTATTGGTTGGTTTGAGCTTGAGGAAGACTGGAACGATGTAGAAATCAAACTGCAGCAGTGCCGTGTTGCAAAGGTATTTTTTTTGTGTGTGTGTGTGTGCTGTATTTTCTGTTATGATGTTATGTCATGTCATGTAACTGTAACCAGGTACAAATGAAAAAAAGCATGGTAACAAATATAAAAAAAAACATTGTAATAAAAAAATTGCCTTTATTTCTCTTTCCATTTAGTTCTTGATGGTTAAATTCCTATGCACCAGGCAGGACACAGCAGAGCGTTTGGGGGTTCAGGCTCTGAGCTGCAGTGGGTACCTGTGTCCTAAAGGTGAGCGGCTCATGGAGCTGGATGATCTCAGTCCAGACGGGGAGAGTTCAGATTCCGATGTGGTCTCTGGTCTTTGTCTCTTGAACAAGACACTGTTCTTCATACAGCAGCTGACACAAGACATGGTAAACACTGTTTATTTACTAATTATTAAAAAATATTTCCATATATTAAAAATAAATTTTATCATTTGTATTTGAGCTTTAATGTGAATACAGTAAATTTTCCCCTTAGAATATAAGGTGCTACAGTATCTGCATTCTGGGTTGTTCTGAGATACTGAGGTTCAAAGTTCTGAACACTCAACACACTCGACTCGACTCGGATAAAGGTGTACAGACAGGTTTAATTTAGTTAACTTTAGTTTATTTCACTTATTCATTTAGTGACATGCACCATTTTTGAAGTGCCCAGCCCACATTGGCTTATAAAACACATAAAACAATAATCAGACAGATTTTACAATAATGCATGAAACATAAAGTGTCCTCTTACAGAGGTCCCAGGCTTTCCACACAAATTGAGCTAGTTTGAAAGCATTACTTGGATGGAGCGAGAGATTGACAGATTGGTGCAGCGTCGGCAGTGATGTGGTCGCTGTATCGAACTGTTGTGGTGAAGAGGTCTCGATTTACCAGTTTGTCTTTGTTCCTACCCTGACCTATGGTCATGAGCTCTGGGTAATGACCGAAAGAACAAGATCGTGGATACAAGTGGTCGAAATGAGTTTCCTTCGCAGGGTGGCTGGGC